TTCCATCATATTTCAACCACATTTCAAACCAAAACTTTCTTTAAAAAAGTGAAAAAGACAAGTGATCGATTAAAGAGTTATGTAAATGAATTTTGGATAGGTCTTCAACAAGTTAGACTATACCACCCCTAGTACTCCATGAAATTAAAGTGCCCATGTCCTCCTCCAATAGCTAAGAAGGGCAGTAACCTTGCATAAAATGGAATGAGGTGACGATGGATTCACTTGGGATGATTGTTTATATTATACTGTAGAGCATAAATATATAATAGTACTGTATATACAGTAGAGTATATACTGTAATTATCTTTTTCAATAATTGGGTAAACCCTTGATCTACATGAGTTCTGTCTACACATTTCTATGTAACACATTCTATACTTTTAATTCATAAAACAGAAAGCATCCTCAGTTCTTTGTTTAGTGGTGATAAAAATTATAAAAATACTTTACAAAGATTATGAGAAAAATTTAGCCCAACAAAAGTTTAGAAACTCATATTTTAGAAGAACCCGTGTCTAGAAGTACTACAGTACGGTAGGTACCAAGTTTTTACGGACTGAACTCCAGCACTGCATCATGTAAGAACTATAACCTGGCATCCCAAAATGTGCTGCATGTATGAGCTTTTCTTCATCACATAGAATATGGCTTGAAACCTTCAAATCACGTTTTGTGCAGTGAGGATGAAAAATATCTACACATGAATGAAAAAATGCATAATCTAGAAAAAATAAATGCTTCAGCCAGAGAGCTTCAAGTTGTGTACAAATATGAGATGACAGACCAAGAACTAAAATTGAGTTCAACATTCATTTTCTAATGTTTTCTAAGTACAGTACTGTACTGTACTAAAGTGTGTGACTTGAACAACTTACATCTATAGTTCAAGACCTTTCAAAAGGTTTACTTCTTTATGAAAAATAACATTTTGGGTGTATTCATAGCAAGTTTGAGACCAGGAATGTAATGCCTTTTTTCTCAAATGATATTAAATTCGATGTACAGTACAATGGGGTTTTCAACAATGTAATCCCCGTGTAGATCGAGGGTTCACTGTATGTGTGGGGCACCACCTCTGATTGTAATTTGGAAACCCATAGCCTCAGAGAAGAGAATACAGAGTGAACATGGATAAAGTGGTATTTCTCCTTGCTACAGTATATGCATATTATCTTCTCCTACCACCCCACTTTTTAAGTTAAATTTATCTATTAACTTATTACTGTATATTGAGAGATTTAAATTATAATATATATATATATATATATATATATATATATATATATATATATATATATATATATATATATATATATATATATATATATATATATATATATATATATATATATATATATATATATAAAATGTATGTATATGATATGATTCCCTATATATCTGTAACCCTAACATAACAATAACAGTTTTCCTTTAAATACACATATAAGAAAAAGAACACTGAACATCTAGCGATTGAATTCATTCTTTGTTCCTCTCACACACACACACACACACACACACACACACATACACACACACACACACAACATACACAGCAACTTGGGATACCATCCTTTTCCAATGAACCATGAACTATTCATATACTGCTTGCATTACATTATCAATGACTCTTGCTAATCAAACAAAATAGTATACAATCAATGGCTGCTTAGTCCTGCTTAAAGTAAAGTATACAGAATTTTATGTCAATCTTCACATATTTCCAAGCTTTCTTTAGCAGTCCACAGATACAGTTAACAAGAGTACATATGTTTGTACATGGAGAATACATTTTATAAATAAGCCATCATTGTCAAGACACCTTTTTAGCAATTTGCTATCATACTGCAACAATCTACAGCTTACAAATCTACCTGCAAAAATGCCATATAAACCACAGCCAAATCTCATTAATTCACCACCTACAAAACAACAAATGCACTGTATTGACTTTTTACTTTTGCAAGCCCCGTTTTCTGCTACTACTGTACTGTTATAATATTATGGGGTTTAAAAATCTTTTAAAACTATATTTTCTATAAAACTAACTGCAAGAAAAAATGTATAAAGTAATAAAATCTCCTCTTGATCGTTTGCATATGGGAAAATTTTCTGTGCTAGCAAAAATTTAAACATTAAAGAATTGCTATGACAATTAGTGCACATATTATTACATTTTTGTAAACTTCAAATAGGATCTGGTGGTAAGGATGAAAAATTGATCCTGAAATGCTATTTTATGGTTAAGCCCAAATTCTTCCAGAAGATCTCTACAATGATCCCTGAAAACTTTGTGAAAATTCACTGAGCCACTTTTACCCCAAAAAGAAGAGCCTTTACCAGGAAAAAATCCCTCCCTGGATGGTAGACTAAAAAATTCCTAAATTCCTTATAAATAGGAAAATGTCCAAAAATGTCAATCAAAGGTCATTAATAAGTCTCCATTCCACCTGCTGAATAGAAACCAGCCAAGCTTTTCATCTGGAATGAACCAATTCAACCCCAAACAGTAAACCAAGAGTAGCAAAGGTATACTGTAGAACAGCACACAAAACTAACACAAGAAGAAGCTACATAGGGTCAATTTGCAAGAGAAACAAGTAAATATCTCACGGCTGACCCAGCGTAACCTATACAGGGTTTATAATTATAGGGAACGTCAATACACCCTTGGAGATGCATTTATGAGAACAGAGCTCAAAGCTGCCTGAAGAATTGCCTCCTCTACCTGGGTAAATATTCTGATGGAGGATTCAGCTCAGTTTTGTGGACAACAATATATGGTTAATACTGTATCCATATTGTTTTTGCTCTCGCTGTACAGCCCAACCCAGCAAGAGCCATCTTTGAGACCTTTAATGGGTTCCTATGAACAATGACAGATCATAAATAAACCTTAAGTAACCTAACCCTTCTATTCCTATCACAATAATAAGCAAATTTAGTAAGCCTTACTATATTCAGTTCTTATACAACGGAGGGTTTGCATGTAAAGAAATGGAGTGGAAAAAAACAAAAATACAAAACTACTGTACGTCTGGGTGCGTAACCGGGAAAAGGTGCTGGAGAAGTATGGAGGGAATGTTGGCTGGACTGGGGGACAGTTCTCTTCCACGCTCATCAGACTGTGATCCATTTTTAACAACAGTATGCAATTTCATCATAATTCCCATATGATTTAGGTTAATTTGATGCTGGGTTAATAAAACATTATTGTAAAATAATAGATATTCCCCAAAAAAAAAAAACACACTCAACCCTAGATGTGTTATTGCATTATATTACAGTATACTCCCTGTCTCTTGTTTACAGAACGGTAACAGCTCATAATTCCCGCTCTCCCTGACAATGCTGCCAGTACTCACCATCTCTCAAGCACCACTGTTATCACTGCTCAAGAGGGTTGGTGCTTACCACAGGATCTGTCTTCAGCACTTAGTAAATAATATTGTAGCATATTTATCAGCACTTAATAAATATTATTGTCGTGTATAAGGTGTCTCCATATGCCCTGGTTTATTCACTGATCAGTTGTCTAAGTGTATGAGCAGCAAAATTGATCCATCATGTATCACTTAAAGGTAATAAATAATGTTATGAATATATCTCCATATGAAATACTATACAGTTATGTTATACTGACCCTCTTGTAAGCTGATTTGCTATAAGTTTTCTCTCCAGGAACACATCTTGAGCTTTCAAAGGGTATTACTGTAATGTTGTAATGTATATATCCCTAATTGTATTAATTCTTATGGGGGAAAATTCTTCATTATAAAACGTTTCACTCTAAGTTGCATTTCTCTGGAACACATGTCTGACTTTAACTGGGAGTCAATACATTTTGATTAAAAATGGTGTTAGAGGGAATTCTTGATGTAAGTAAACAAAAGAGCCTAGCTACTCTATTCAAGACAGGAATAAACTTCTTCAGTAGGCAATAAGGCAGGTTAACCCACAGAGAATTATGCCCCAAGTAAGCTGTTGGATACATTACCTGGGATAATGGGTTTTGGAGAAAATCCAGTGTATGATGCTGACACTGTAGGTGGAGGAGTGCAGCACAGACTTGCCAATTATTGAGAAAATGAGCATGATTGCTCTTATTAAACTCCATAACCCAGCATTTGAATGTAAGAACCTCTAAAAAGTGAGTATTAGGTAGGTTATAGGTCCAACTACCTTAAGGTGGACTACCAGGTGGACCCCCCACCAAATATCCAAAATGGAACTCTCCTTAAGTACTACTTTGGGCCATACTAAAATATCCCCGTAAGAGTTCAGGCCACACGAATCACATACAGTAGTTGGGAGTAGTCCCTAGACAGTGCTGGATTGTGTAGTTCCTATATCACATATAGAGAGTGAAAGTGGGACCCATAGCCATGACGGCCCATTAGGGACAGTGTAGATACAGTACACTGTATACAGTACTGTACTAAGCACACCAGGAGACAGCATGGCCGGTACTGCTCTCAACCACATTCACTTCCCCAAGTAGTAAATTTGGGTACTCATTTACAGCTGGGAGAGCTGGGAATCGAGCCACCAACTCCTGAAACAGGAGGCGAGCGCTGTATCCACTTGACCGCTGTACTCCATATCACATATTGGCTAACCTCAAATTGAATTGTAAGGCAATTGCAAATAAATTTGCAAAGTAATAATTAATTTATTGCAAATACCTGTACTGTATACTTCCCCAGCTGCATTCATGGCGTCACTCAGCCAGTGCGCACTTTCCAAGATGTCTAAATGCTCAGTAGCCACTTTTCCTTCCAGTTCAAGGAAAAGAAAAAGAAAAGAAATGTATTGAATTTAAAAATTAAATAAAATTTTTGGATGAACCTAGTTGTGACATGATTCACCAGTTGTGTCACACTGAAAGGGTTAAAAACACAATTTCACAGCAAGCTGAGATATATTATGCTACTGTATTATTATTTTTCTTTTTTTGCAATTTTCTTAGTTTTTGCTTAGTTATCCTGATTTTTCGATTGGTGCGCCAATTTTTTTTTTTAATTTCTTGGTTGTGTTTATTAAGTTAGTAAACCTTTTAAGCATTGTTTGGTGAATATTTTGGGCCTCTGGTCCCTAAGGCCTTATTTTGTATTGGAGTCCATGAATTTTACATTTTTCACATTATTTTTTTTTTCAATTCACAAACATTCTTGGTCCTTATCTTGCAAAATAACCTGAGGCTGTTGTAACTAAAAATATTATTCTTTTTTATGACATAAATTATCTATAAAATATTCACGAGTGTAAAAGCACAATTTTTTACTGGTCAAAGAGTATATGACCAGATGCACAATAATGAAAATATATGTTAGAGAAAATTGAAAATGAGCAATATTGACAAATTGAAAAATAGATATTCAATGGCAACATGTTACACCGCATGTCTGACAAAAATTCCATGACATCAAGGGGGAATTCCTTGGAGTTATGGTCATGGTGAATACAGTACAGTACATTGTTTATACCAATTTACCCAAAAACAAAAAACAAAATTTTCATTCCTTTATCTGTCATCTTGTATACGACAGGATTTTTTGCTTCAGTGAATGGTTTAAGGGATATTAGTTGCAACACGGAGGTACTGAAATAATTATTCAGCTAGTTCCTGCCACTAATGTTGAGAGGCTTGGGTTTTAAGCCCTTAGACTTTGGATGGTATATATGAGCCAACAAAGCCAGACATTAGGTTATCAATGTCATCTTCTGATATATGATGTACAATACTGACCACAGAAAATAAATTTCACCTTCTTTCATCTACAATGTCATCCCCAATGATTTGATGAATGATCAATTGCCGAGTTACTTATCACAACAATACCTGTGCTTTAACTTTGAATCTACAACCTGAAACAGCTTATTTACCAATTAATTGCCAATTATATTTATTGTACATCTGGAATGAGCAACAATGCTCTTTGTGCAGCCCCAAAGCAAATTATAGATGTAATCAAAGTACTGTACTGTAATATGCTGCTACCCATCTAAAGAATAGGAAATGTTTAAGGGTATGACTGTTTCATTTGCCAATTGTACTTGCAGCTCTGAATTTGCAAGGGAAAATAAAGACACCCTTTTAAGTTTCTAGTACAAGTGACACTCAATAAAATGTATAGATGACCTGTATGCATCCTTGATGAATGAATAAGTGAGATTTGGCTGTCTTTTGTATCCTTTAGTTAAACCATTTATCTTATGTCCAACTTTTTCTTTTAATTTCAGAATTATATATAAGCTGTATGGAAATGTTTATATACATATATTAGTATATATATACAGTATATAGTATATACAGTATATATATATAAATATATATACACACAAAACACATAAAATAACTTCAAAGTATGGCACATGAATTATCCATCAATGATACATAATATTACTTTTCCATTGTACATAATGGGTGAAAATATTTAACTATTTCTTGAACTTTCAGGAAGTCTGTTAAACCTACGGATCTAATGACTCGCTTATCCATGGAAAATTATCAAATGTCTCATCAAAGTCATTTTCATCAAGTGGACTAAAATTATTATTATTGGATAGCAAAGCACCATTAATAAAATTGTTTTTACCAATCTGCCTTTCAGAATTCACAGCTTGATGATAGCTATGACGCAGATTCCCAGTACTATTGAAACTACTTTTCTTTGGTGTACTTGTAACCAAATCACAGAAAAATTCCTCTTTCAAATTTTCACACTGTTCAAGAAATGTTTCTGTCAACTGTGCGCTATCGGGCTGAGACTTGTGAGCTGCACTGTTGCTGGTACGAGATCGTGGCAAAGCTACCTGGCCTTCCTTAAGTTTCCTCTGAGCACTAAGAAACTCGTCGCTAGCACACTTCTTGTACACACCATTCATTCCACTAATAACACTGGAGGCAACATTATCTACTGGAGCTGAAGCTCCAAAATGCTCTTCATCCTCCCACGCTGTCCATCGTGGTCTTCTCTGTCCCCGCACATTGACGAGTAAAGGGGATACTGCTGTTGGTAGGGCACTGGCACTTACTGCTCCTTGAGAACGTACCCGACGTGGAGGGGGTCCGCCCTGACCCCGAGCTAGCCTTAAAAGGGGACTTTGGAGTAGGGGAACAGCAGCACCATTGTGACCACCAGCTGATACACTTTTAACCAAAGAGTCATGGTGACCTAGTCTGCCAGGATGAAGTAAAGGGGAACTAGCTGAACGCTGGCCTGGTCGCCAGCAACTTTGGTCTTTGTTAGGTGGCTTCAAGAGGGAAGGAAGTGGTGAATTCTGTGTAGAGTGCTGGCTAATATTCATTACGTCATTCATACCCACAACCACTCTTTTGGGTGTACTTGTCAGACCCCCAAATTCGTGGAAGCTTCTCCTAGTTTTACTTTCAATATACTCCTCTAGTATTTTCCTTGGGGAAATCTGAAAGATGAAAAATGTATATAAGTTACCTTCATAGGTATACCTTTTGCACAATCATAGTACTGTACAGTAGTGTTATATATGTAATATATGAATTGCACAACTTGGGTACAGTACTAACCATTCCCACAATTTCATGTGTTAAAAAGAAAAAACACACATAAATAATATAGATATGTTTTGTGTATATGTATTGTATTGTATCAGCTATTACATAATTAAAGTTCAGGTGGCTTGCATATGTGCGTATGTATGTATGTATGTATGTATGTATGTATGTATGTATGTATGTATGTATGTATGTATGTATATATATATTACTAAAAAATATCTTGTTATGTTTCTGTATTCATTAGGGAAATTAATCTACATAATATATAATGTACTGCTAAACATTAATTATACACTAACTTTTTTCTCCTTTACTTCGTCAAAATCAAAGTTTTGGAAGAGCTCTTCACGCTGCAGTTGATAAAAGGAGTGAAGTCGAGCCATGGGGTCACGACGAAGGAGACTACTAATTACTGACCTCATAGCATTAGATGCGCAGTCTGGAGGCTCATACTCAAACTTTGATACAGCCAAGTTCATTGTTAGATGATCATCAAAGCCACTCACAGGATACTGAAGTCAAATAAAAATGAAATGCATAATTAAGATAGTAATGTAATAAGCAATCCACATTCACCTACAACCAATTAAGTCATTCCCTGAAATAAAATTAGAGTAGAAGTATCAGAACATGTTCCGAAGTACTTCTATCCACTCTTAACTGTGGAACACATCAACCCTTCCCAGAATCAATATCACCTATTTGTCACTTCATTCTGCTTCCATTTATAGAGGACTGTAGGGAAAAGATAGCTCATAGCCACAATGTAGTCACCTACTATGAACATTTACAAGGCGACTGAAAGCATCAGTCATGTGGGACTGGCATCACGTCACAAACGGCTTGAGATAGGATAGTTATATCTCCTCCTATTGGACTAGATAATTTTGAAGTGGTTGGGTGTATTTTATAAGCTGGAACCAATAAGATTAAACAGTACTAGTAGTATTAACTCATACAAGACAACACTCACACAATCTTAGTGGAGATTCAAACCTGGGACTAAAGAACTGCCAGACCAGTATGAAAACAAATGCACTGCCATAAACATTCATGAGACTTCTCAAATATGAAAGGAATACAGTATATCTGTAGATTCTCCTTAATTACTAAATTATGTATTAAGAGAGCAGAGTCAGTGAAGAGTGAAAGATATGGAGCAAGAATAAACTTTATTTTCCCTTCTGTTCAAAGCTTCCTTAAAATTTTTTAGCCCAACTAAACCCATTCCTGTGAAATGATCTTAACTATAGTCTACTTCATTCCTGGCAATATTACCTTAATTAGCGTATCCAAAAGCATAACCCAAATAAATGATACCTCAGGTGATGCTAAACCATAAATTTTAATAATTATCTTGTTTTCTTTTTAAAAAATCAAATTGCCTTTCCCCTTCTTTCACCATCTTACTCAACCCACATGATCCTGCTTTTGGTGCTTCTTTCACCGTCCTTACCTTTGTAGTAAAGTCATCTATTAAAATAAATTGTTCAATGTACTTTAAAGCATCTTTTACCTTCTTTCAAGAATTAAAAGCTCTTCTAAAACTTCATCCTAATTATAACCTACTGGTGCATAAACATCAAACCTGACAAACAGAACTCTGTCTAACACTGCCCAATATACAACTATTGTACAGTACTTTTGTTTTATAATATTACAGAGCAGTATCTACATCTCTCACATGTTTCTCATCACATGAATAAATAAAGTGACATTCTACTCTACTAATGCTATTTGAACCTGTGCATCTTAGTTAACGTAATTCCAAGGTGTCCAGCTGCAACTTTTTCATCTCCCTCCAAACATTTGTAGGCTTCCCACCTTCGTATAAATACAGACAACAACAAAAACTGGTATCCAATTACTGTAAAGAATTCATATTATTTAGCATGTCTCAAGTGCTTAGTTATAATGCTATATACAGTATAGAGATGTTAGAGAATTATGTCTTAAATACGGTACCTAGTTAAGAGGGATGTTATGCTAATATGTCTAAACTTTACAGCTAAGTAGTTATAAGTGATGGTGTTATACTAGAGGGTGGTCCAATTAAGTGGAACCATAGGGAGTAAAATACACTGACTTGCCTACACACATTTACTTACAGTATCAATTCAACATGGTTGTCATTATTATCAATACAATTTTGTAATTTGGTGATCCACTGATGCTGATCTCTAACAAACAGTATCCGCACAATTAATAATTTATAATCAAGCTTCAGCACGACAATTAAATTTTTAAGCTTCCTCTCCAATTTCAGCAGATACCATTCCAGTACAGTATTAGTACTGGAGAAGCTGACTGCAGAAGCTTAGTTACCTTTTTCTATTTGCACATACTGTACAACTAAGCTTTTCAGTTTCTATTATTCTCAGTGTTTCCACTTAAAATGGATCATCTTGTAGTATGTATCACCTGTCCAACTATGATGTTCTAAGTGGGGATTTTACACTAGTCTGTCTGTTTTGTACAGCAAAGAAGTTATAAATAATGATGATATACAGGTACAAGTATGTCTCACCTGTCCAGCTAAGAGACTATATGTGATGATGCCAAGTGACCACCAATCTACGCTGTGATTGTACTCTTCTCCTCGTAACACTTCTGGTGCTTCAGGAAAAAAGAAAAGAAATGGTTTATTGTAATTACAGTCCTGCAGACAGGATTCTAAAAAAAAGGAGGCCTGTGTTCAGCCAAATTTAACTAAATAAATCCTTAGCTCTAATTTAAACCTAGTTGTCTTTGAAATAGACCAGTTTTTTATCAATTTTATAGATAGATTATATGAAGACAGTTTTCGTTTGCAAAGTGCAGTACTAAAGAAAAATGAGGGTTTGATCCTGAAATCTGTTTTTCTAGTAAAGCCTGTAACTGGGCAGTTGTTGTCATGGGATATAGAGTGATAAGCTAAACCCCTTATTCTTAGCATGTGAAATAACAAAAGTTGCTCACTGAAGAGATTCAACTAGAAATTAAGTTTTTTACCAATACAGTAATCCCATTTTGGTCCCTGATGAATATATCAAGAATAATTTTGGGGATTTCCTCTTTTTGTGATGTTTTCTCAATGAATCCCTATAACCATACACTTTTAATCCCTGTCTTATCTTGTGTGTGACTCCTCACTCCCCTTGGGAGCTTCCCTCTCACAAAATGCACTCACAAAAGAGCTACATATTTCTTTTGCCCTATCTATTTTCCTTATTCCCTCTTCCATTCTCACCTTTCCTTCTCATAATGTAGGCTGTCTCTCTTATTCCCTGTCAGACAAACACATCAGAACTTACCCATGAATTGCAGAGTACCACAGATTGTGGTTGTTCTTCCACCATAACTAAGCCATTTAGCCAGACCAAAGTCTATGATTTTGATATGACCATCAGCATCTAAAAGAATATTCTCCATTTTGAGGTCTCGGTAGATTATCCCAGCATTGTGTAGGAAATCTGTGTTGAGAAAGAGAATTGTTATACAAATGCATTATTATTATTATTATTACAACTGTAATGTTACTGAGGAAGAAGAGGGGACACTGTATTCCTGCCCCTCCCCATAAGGCAGGTACTGTAGACATTGGAACCCTCCAAAAGCAACTCATTTTTTGTGATGTTGAAGGGCAAGGATTTGTTCCATCCAACCCCCCTACCCCTAGAAATCAATGAAAATTATATTGAAGATGCTAACTCAGCATCACCTGAAAGCTCTTGACAAGAGGTTCTGAAAGAACACAATCTTAATATTGAAAGCTTCAATATGGATAACTTGAATATAACTTTATTATGAAAACCAGCATTTATTGCCATGTTCTCCTTGAGACTAAGACATGTTCAACGTGGGTATAAAACAATAAACCAACACAGGACACGTTCCCTGACATCTTATCATAATTATACAATAGTGATGTGCATGAATAGTTACGTGGTAGAAACGACAGCACGCTTTAATTATACATTATCACCTGCTACGCTACATATCCATTCTTTTCAGAGTGGCTCACACTTTCAATTTGGGTTGTAATGTGTTTGTAGACAATCCAGTTGCATTTTTTGGCACTGTTTTCTATTATTGCAACATTTTAAAGGCTAAAAGACACCTTTAACACTCAAGTAAACACAATAGGTTTTGCTGTCAGTTAGGTAATTGCTCCTGATAGATGCTTCCCAGGAAAATACATGAGAGCTATAGTATAAGATAACTTCAATGCTACAATGAATACTATTCTCTAATGCCCCATAATGAAAGGGATCTAGATGAAATCTGTAATACCTAGAACTGCTGATCTGTTATCAAGAAACTGTATGGTCCTTCCCCAAAGCATATCTCTCATGCATTGAAGAAAAAAACCAGTTCAATAAAGTTGAATGGAAAACTTAAATTAAATGGGAACTCAGGTTCTAAGGTATAGATGAAACTTGAGGTCCCTAAAAACTGACCAAGTCATTCTGAAAATCATACTTCACAGACAATAAGTTCTCAGCTCCAACATAAAAGCTGAGCCAAGCTCTACTGACATAGAGAGATGTTTGAGGTGGACAAAAGTTATAGTGGTTATTAATTTGATGACCACTGCTCTGAGCATCAATTTACTGGTTACTGGTGTACAGTATTTCATGTTGATGGTATTAATGAAGGTAATTATCCTCTCATTCCACATCTAAAGACATCATTTTATTGATCATACCATTTTTGTATGATTGAACAAATTTTTTTCACTGTATGTACATAGTAAACATTGTACTGGACACACATACATACAGTATTACCGCTCTACAACAAACTTCTATATACAGTCTGTTTTCCTATACACAAGGCATTCTACCATTAGGTAAAGGCTCATAACTCCACTTACTTTGTTTATCCACGTACCTCTTATCAATATAAAGATATAGGCTAATGGACCCTGGAAAAATACTCTCAACTGGGCATACAGAAGGCATGCAAACCTTTGAGGGAACACACGAGAGTGAGCGCATAGTAGAACACAGGATAATGAGGTACAGTACTCAATACACACATAAAAATGACCATCAATAAGCATAATTTCTGCTGTCTTATTAACAAATCATTTACAGTTAAATTATCCAAATTAACAAATATAAAAATAAGATTATGGCCAAGTTGAAAAGAACAGGTTAAAGTTAAAAATATTCTTGCGTAAGTGAAATAATGAAACTATAACAGTATGAAAAATATGGGACCATAACAGCCATCCTTACAGTTCATACAGTTGCCAAACATTCACAACAAGGTCAAACTCTCTTAGTGTACCATATGATTTTTTTTTGAGTTACTGACAAAAACTTAGAAATCAAATCATTAAGTTTAGTTATTAATAGCAACACAATTAGTTGCATTTGTCCCTCCATGGAAAAGGGATTCAAAATCAGACTGACTAGTGACAATCTTACCAAGTGCAAGTGCAATCTGTGCTAAATAGATCTTGACAAGGTTTTCTGGTAGGCGGCCTAGAGATCTCCACAGCTGCTGCAGTTCACCATATCCAACAAATTCTGTCACTAACACAAAGAAAATATTGTGATGAAACCATCTACACAATAATAAGGCAAGCATTGGAATCCACAAAACACCAGTCCAGCCTCTGTTACAGTATTTTTCTTCACTGTCTCATTTACTGTAAAGTATTAAAAATAAATCTCTATGATGGTAATTCCATAACAAGGATTGGACAAATAAATGCATTGTGCTCCTCCTGTCCTAGTTTCAGATTAAACTGAGAAACAAGTTAGATGATTGTTTATTTGATGATTCACACAAGTACGACTTTCTCTCACCCAGTATTTGGGACTTGAGCCGACAGTCAAAAGTCCTAAAGCTTGTGAAGTTAATGGCACGTTTTATAAACCCTGAAGGTAAAGATTTGTTTCATTTTCTTGCAATTATAAATAAGGTACGTATCTAAAAAAATAAAATAAAAAATTATTCATCACATTTACTTCTCATTTGGTGTAAATCCAATGATAAATAAATACCTAAATACCTTGTTTCTAACTCTTCAATGGACTTTTTTAACCTACTGAATTTGATCTTAACAGAGTACAAAAAAGTGATAGTCTGGTGTCATTCTTTCCAACACTGAAGTACTGATAAAGCCATACTGAGAGAGCATTAGACTAAAGTTCACACAAATGTAACAAACAATCCCACAAATTTAAAATGTACACCTAAAGAGTGGTAGAAGAACACTGGTTTCTTGTGTACAAACTATTCAGTCAAGAGAGCTTTTTAGGTTCTTAATAACAAACACAAAATTTAGGACTTTTTTCTCTGTTTTAGGCAATACTTTACTATATATGAAGCCAATTGTCATCAAAGCAACATATATACTAATACATATTAATATCATCATCTAAATTATTACCATAAACTGAATAAACATAAACTGCCTACAGTGATCATTATAAAATACAAGCAGAAGGAATTACTGTAGTACAAAATATATGAAAAGGTACAAATACAGTATCTCAAAAAAGTATCTGCCAGGATGGGTCCAATGACTTCCTAAATGGTTGGTATGTGTGGCTCTGTGGCTCACTGATCCTACTACCGGGTACATTAGGTAACCAAACATCTATTAATTATGCCAAAATAAATACTGTACACATTGCATTACAGTATTAATTATATACCAAAGTCAATGCATGTCCCAATATCTATCATCTGTGGTTTAATAATGTTGCATACTGTATGGACAGATACTTTCTTGAGATATTGCTAATAATACTTTCAAAGCAAAAGAAAAAGTTAAGGCCCTACAGTGAAAAGTGAGTCAACTCCCTTTAAAATCTTGCCAGGCCCATACTGTATTTATAGTGTTTTCTACAGTAAACACCAGCTAGAGCAAAATGAGGTTCATACTATTTTGCTACAAACCCTAAGAAAGTGTTCTGAAAACAACTAGGAAATGCCTAATCAAAGCAGTGTTACATACCAATACAGTATACTATATGTAAGAGTCAGAACTTAACCCTAGCTGTTGCAATAAGGGACCTTCTCCATGTTTTTCCTCTTTGATTTACTGTATTCTTATTGCTTTAGTCTTAAGACTTCTTCAATTTATCTAAATAATTCCTACAGTCATCAGTGATACAAAATAATTTGATAACATCAATATAATTGTGAAGAAATTAATGGGAGATTTTATGAAAATTACATTGTAGCAGGTGATGAGTGTGTATATAACAGATGCTACTGCCCTCCATACTGAATGTAGGAGTTCATTCAGCCCAGCTGTTCTCATCCTGTTGTGAGGTTATAGATTATGTGTAAAGACAAAAAGTGTATGTCTAATAGAAGTAAAGGTTCTTACATTATTATATGAAGATTTATCAAATGAACAAGATGCTAATAACAATTTCGGGAACCACAGAGGGTCACACAGTACAAAATTTGGGCATGAATAAAAAATGAGGTTAAAGCCGAGTCACGAAATAACAGCCCGGGTCCAGGGGTTTCAGGAAGATTAGACAAGAGTAATGGCACTACAAGGGTTAAAAATACAGGACAAAAAAGTCCTCTCTGGAATTTCTACTGTAATAAGATTATAGCAACAGATAGGGTCAAGAGGAATAATGTAGCACTAGTCCTTCGAGTACAGTGTAAGGAATAATTTAAGTTGGCCCCTAGGAGCAACAATAGTGCTTTCATACATGGCTAATAAAATAATGTGCGGGCCTATTTTTAGCAAATCCCCTTTGATAACACTGACAGTACATTGTTTGTTTTACAACTAGGTCTCCGGGATTCTATTTCTGATACTGACAGCAGTGAACACAGAGTACTTACTGACAAGAAGAAGCTTGCGGGTCTGCCAGAAATGTATGAGAGGAGTGATGAATGGGTGATGACTACAAACATGCTGGATCATTACTTCTTGCTTCACCTGACCCACTGCATCTAGACTGCACACCTGAAAGTTTTTAATAATTAATACTATGCAGAAAGTTACCTAATGTTATCACTTAGACATAACCACAGATCTTTTCTCTGACAATGTTATGACTCTAAAAGATATAGAACATTTTGAGGAAAATTATTATACTATACCTGTGATTTTGATAGTACTTTCATCGCATATTCTTTGTTGGATGTTGCACATTTCACATGGAATACTTGCCCAAATGCCCCTCTGCTAATTTCACCAAGGAACTGGGAAATAAATAAATTCACCAGTCAAAATTCATCAAACTTGAACATTTTAATTATTTACTGTATTGTTTTAATTGAAAATATGAAAATAGAAATGTACATGAGACTCTTCCATATCAAAGTTATATTTTTTTTTTGCTAATTTTGACAATTCATGGACAACTTCTCTGTACAATGGTTTAAAAAATGCAAGGGACGATTTTGATAATTTTCAGTAGTTTCACTCACTCTAGATTTTTTTTTTATTGATTCTAGCACATGTGAAAGATAAGGGAGATGCCCTGCAGTCACCCAGTAGCTTGGTACTGTCAAGGAAGGAATTTGCTGAACTTGTGTTCAATGTACAGTCATATCTTTTGTAGTATTTTCAGTGAGACATTAATAAATTGTTAAATTATCAACTACCTGTACCTAAAACTCTTTAATGTTCAATTTTGCATTTAAGTGTACAGCTCCTGCCCGACTTACGACGGGGTTAGGGACCCAAATCCAGGTCGCAAGTCGAAAATGCTTAAATAATACATAGAAAATCTAAAATGGGTATCTCTTTTTCTTCTCAGCACCACAAAACTCTCACTTTTAAGCTTGCCAGCCATTTTAAATGGAATTACAATCGAAAATTTTGTCTGTGTACTGACGTTGGGAATTGAAAATACGTAATTTGACAAAATTTTGGTACGACTGAGGCAGGTTGTAAATGCGGGTGGTCGTAAGTCGAGTAGGTCGTAAGTCGGGGAGGAGCTGTACAGTGAGTTCTGCTATAATGCTTGTTTTGATAACGCGAATTTGCTCTTACGCGATTTATGAATTCGGAACAATATTTGTATAACGCGAACGCTTGTTTGCTATAACGCGATTTTTGCTTACTATTTCTCCAATTTTGTGGTATTAACTGTGAATATGGTAAAGAAGAATATCTCCAAAAAGCGTTCTGATGATAGAATTCCCGGTGTTATCGTAAAAGAAAGGATATAACACTTGAAGAGAAGCTCGATGTTATCAACCTCAAAATCACCCTTCTCCCCCATCAAGTTACATTCATATTTTTTCAAGGTAAAGTGTTAAATTTACTGTATGATTTCATTATTAGATATGAATGTAACATTTATTTAGACTGTGCTATCCTTTGTGTTAGGCTAACTACTAAATTTTTTCGATTTCGAGCAATCTGCACCTAACCCTATTTTCTCCATAAGCCCTGTTATTTCTATTACGCGATTTTCTTTAACACGATATTTTACAAGAACACATTTATCGCGTTATAGCAGAACTACCTGTACATATGATAATATATAGGGCTCCATATCTTATACAGGGTTATATAGAGTATTGGATAAATGGATTGTCACAGAGATTCGTGAGACCTAACCCATATCTTTCCATTCCATAATGTATTCACAATTGTTATTTTCACAATTACACAACCCCTTTAGGAACAAGATCTTACATAACAATGAGGATATCAGTACTTCATAAAAATAACAATAAAAAATGAATTTAATACAATAAAAAGGTGAGAGATTTTCATAAGATATCACCGTTAGCCGGAACAATTGGTGCAGAGCACTTCCAGGTATGAGAGATTTCTGGGTAACGAGACGACTCTCTCAAAGCCGGAAAAAATCCCTCATCCCCGGAATTTTCCGGGCAACGGAAAATTTTTCTCGGAATTTCCAGAAAATGTGCCTGATTTTCATCTCTCAAAACCAGGAAAAAACACCCCCATCCCTGGAAATTTCCAGGTGCCGGGAATTTTTTTTTAATTTTCCAGAAAATGTGCCCCTCAGAAAATCGTTCCCAAAGCCGGAATTTTCCGGAAAATTACGGCTTTGGGAACAATTTTCTGAGAAAATTTTAATTATGGCTATCGGGGAGTTCCGGGCTTGAGGGATTCCGGCAAACGGAGATATTACTGTACTGTATTGCATTATGTACTTACCACTATAAACAAAGATTACACATTTACAGGTACTATACTGAGAAGGGTAAACTAAATTATTACAGGTACTCCTCGACTTACGACATACCCGATTTACGACAACCCGGACATCCGACCGCCGTGGTCGTATAAAATATTTTTCAAATTACGTATTTTCGAGTCCTGACGTTAGTGATCGCACTGTGTACTGACAAAATTTTCGTTTGTAATTCCCTTTAAAATAGCTGGCAAGAGTAAAAGAGAGAGTTCTTGTGGTGCTGAGAAGAAAAAGAGACACCCATTTTAGAATTTCTATGTATTATTTTCGCATTTTCGACTTACGACCAATTCGACTTACGACCCAGTCGTCGGGACGGAACCCCGTCGTAAGTCGAGGAGACTGTAGTTATACATACTGTAGTACTTACAATTAATTTCAGTTTTTCCTCGATGCCTACAGGAAACTCTGGTAAGAAGAGAGCTTCAGTCTGAGCTACTGGCCACACTGTTTTGCTGTGTGCATATTCATTCTCAAGAGTTGACTGGTGCCATCTAGAAAGAACAAATCCATATATTAAGAACACTTCATCAACAGCAGAACATAATTATGAAACAAAAATTACTTTTTCTCCTGCAAAGAAATTAACCTGAATTGTCTCTCCATTATATGAAGGATTGATTCCATTTAATAAACAGCTCTGGAGTTAGTGACTGACATTATACACCCCGCTATATCTGTAAGGTTAAAATAATAAAAAACTATTGCCAGAGTAGGCAGAGAGGCAGTGTCCTAGCTGGAGGCTGCATTGCTATGGTGAGCGTCTCGGAGACTTCGACAGTACAGTACACTAACTTGTATGTATATCTTTTACTTTTTATAATTTCATCATTACTATTTATATGCTTTCATTATTATATTTTATATGCCTACAATTTTAAGTTTGATGGTACAGTGTACAGTACAGTTAAGCTACTAGTGGTAATTCTAGCAAAATTTGTAAATAGGAGTTGGTAACTCTGGCGGGAATTAAGTTTCAGAGTTCGTAACACTGTTCATAGCACCAGCTGTTGTGGTGGTTATCATGGCCAAGATGCGGTTATGAGAATCTGGTGTCTTGCAACAAAATGTTTTGGAATATACCCGGTACTTCTCAAAAGCTAAGATCGAAATATACATAAGATAGGTTGATACACGAGTACAGTACAGTACAGTAGTATAAGGTAATCCAAAGTATTGCTTATAAAGGTAAGACAATGTAATTGTTACACAATCCCACATTGTATATCATTATACATATGATGAAAAAAAAAGATTTAATAGGTCATCAAGGTTTAATAACTGATGAGCTAAGGATATTTCCCTTATGGGCAAAATGGACTCCAGTGCAATTTCTTTTATCTCAATTCCAATTATCTGAATATTCTAGGTATATGAACTTTTGTCCCCTTCAGTCCCATTCGGTTAAAATTCAAATATAGTCCAACAATTCGAACACAACTGAAGTTAAGTGTCTGCCACCATTCGTGCTGTAACTGCTTTCCTTACAAGTGTGCTGGGTTTTTGGTTGCTGGAAGGTACTGGACTCTAAGTTCATGCTATGATAAGCAATGCAATTGATAGCTTGTATATCATAAAATACAATAGCACATGTACCCCCCCCCCCAAAGAAAATAGTTCCTCCCACACTCAAACCATCCTCTAAATGACGAGATATATTCAGCCGGGAAATCAACCAGCTGACTCCAAGATGTACTGTACGTGTGTATATGTGGGGACATCACATCACGGGCCAGGTGGGTAGGTGGGTGGCAAGGCAACTGGTGAGTCGGCAATGCAGTTACAGTCAACTGTCTCCACGTGTCCATGCATACATTCACTTCCCAAACACTCTATGCCACATTAGAGTATTGTAATGATTACTCCCAACTTTAATAGTTTTAGTACATGCAAAATTAGCAACATGCCAGCTTACAGGTCACCTCATCCAAATTTTGACCTAACATTAATTATTGCATGTTCTTGTAGGCACGTCCAGGTATCCCAACCTTACAGGTATCCAAACCATCACAGTCCAGATGAGTTCGGATAAAAGGAATTGTACTGTACTAAAATAATATCACATACACAGCAAGCTGTGCCTTATACAAATTCTTTCACACTGCAAAAAGATGAGTAAATTTATTGATAGGACCTGGGAAGGATGTATAAGACCATACAGGCAAATATCAATTCAGTTAGAACAAACAAAACATCCAAAATTCAGTGTGAGATAAATTATGACACTGAGTCAAGAATTAGATACCTTTTCCTTGATACTCTGGACCATGGTCGCCGGTTGGACTCATTGGCTGGTGCAGAGACAAAGGAGATGACAGAAAGGCCACTTAAAACAGAGAAGCGATGGGTCAAGTTTGTCGCGATGTCCACAATGCTGAATTGCTGAAATGGAAAAAAATTAATATATTTATTAAGACTAGACTCTTGTGAGGAAAGCACGATTGAGACAGAAGAAGAGGTGCACCGACATACAGGTACGTACTGTCATATCTAGTAATGTGTCCATAGTCTGTGAGTGCTGATATTTTATACGTGGTTTTAGGTAATAATGGGTTAAAACAACAAAACATTATTGGATCTAGTCTTCTTTATTATGTGGATAACATTCATACTCTCCATGCTAACTATTTTTGCCAAACTATATTATGAAGTTTAACTAAATTGAAAAAGTTATTTCTAAGCTCGCCTCTTAAGGAGACCTGATATTTGACTAAGGTATAAGGTATCTGTACAGTACAGTACTCTAATCCACTAATACCAAGTTCAGTGTCTGTATGAATCACTCATGACGGCTCTGGGAAAATATGTGAAGACCAGTCCCGCTACCACCACACTATTTAACTCGCACCGCGATAGAGCCTACTACTATCCACATTCATTCTACCGTCTCTTACACTATGCTTATCGGTTTCCTACCATTAAAAGAAAACTGATAGATTTATAGTGTAAATATTTATTGCTACACATACAGCATATTGGTAGTAAGGGCAGTGGAGTAAATTAAGGACTCGTCCACAATCTATTACTGCTGGTGTTTCATATTTGATTGTCTACATGCAAATTATCAGGGTTTTGTTTAAAAAAAAAATTATAACTGCACGTCATAAAATCACCAATACAGTACAGTATTTGAAAAAATAGTGATCATGCATGGCAATGACCACAACTCTGGCCCCTTACAACAGGAGGAGGTAAGGTCTGAATGGTTTATCTTCATCATCCGTAACATTTTATGGCCAGGATTACCTGATGTTAACTGTTGGTAAAACCAGAGGTATGTCCTCTCCCAACTCACCACCACAAACCCAAGTACAATACATTACAATACAGGCAAACCCCGTCATTCATAGCCTCGGTATTCGTAACCCCATTTATCAACAATCAATTTATTGTTACCCATTTCCACTATTCGTAATGGTTGCCCTGTTTATTCGCAAATTCTTACGAGCAAAAATTTTGAACCGCACGCTTCAACCGTAGCGTAGGACAGCGTGTGTACGTATTCCGCCGCCATACGCTCCTGCTCGCCTCAGTCTCACACATGCTGGCGTGTGTTTTGTGTGATCTCGCAATGCTTAAGCGACCAGCTACTAAAACTCCCAGCATTGTTGCCAAGAGATCACGTGTGGCAGTTACGTTGGACGTGAAATTGGATATCGTAAAAAGATATGAACACGGAGAAGGAACGCCAGTGATTGGGTGCGTGCACGGCTTGCCTCCCACTACGGTGCATTCTATAGTTAAAGGCGCCGACAAGTTCAAGGAGATGGCCGGGTCTGCAACACCACTGACGGCTACGAAGGTGACAAGGTTCTGTGATGCTGAGATGGAGAGTATGGAGCGGATGTTGAGCACGTGGATTGACGACCAGACCCAGCGCCTTAAAACACAGTGAGGAGAGTGAGGTGGCTGACGATCCCAGCCTCCTCTCACCCCAGTAAACCTTCACCCTCTCCCCTAATGCCAACTTCAGCAAGCAAGCAACACAGAACATCAGAGGTAAATTAACAGTCTACGTTTAAAACTTACCTCACACACCTACGCACATACACATTCAAACACTCACACACTCAAACATGTAAAGTATACTGTACTTGTAAACATATACGCCTAATAAACTCGCTTAGCGGATCAGCCTCAAGAACACACCTTGTCCATAAGAGGTATGACAGGTATTATTTATATTGGCCAAGGCTATATATAGGACCATCCAAATATGTCAAAATATGACATATCAGGATGGTCCTTTATTTAGCCACTTCCATTTATATTATTAGCATATAAATAACACAAACGTGTCGGTCTTTTGTGTTTATTTAATGGAACCAATTATGTCCATGGAAAATTGATAGTCTCTTGGAGCAAACATAAACAAGTATTGGCAGCTTCTCTGATAGTTGCCCATGTTGTGGCAGTGTGATGAGGATGAAAACACTGGACAACTATAAGTAAGAAATTTGCAACAGGTACCCCTTCATATTTCTTTCTATTTATGAGGTTAAAAATAAATTTTCATCTCCAGAAAATGTCCCTAAATTGGCTCCTTCTCATGAGTCTGACGTCTTAAGTATTACCAAAGAAACAAATGACCTTTGAAAACTAGGATTAAAGAGGAGTGAGTAGACATGATACCTCTGAGACGCAATGTTAGTTGCACTGAATTTTGCAATTCCTCACCAATATTTGCAAATTTATTGAGGTAAATTGTCTTCAATAGAAAAGTGTTTAAAAGTAGGTGGTTTACCTACACAAGCATTCTAAATTACAGTATTACTGTTGACTATTATCTAGGGTCTAGACAATGGTCAAGACCCTGCAGTACAAAAGAATTAGATTTTTTGTGTCAACCCTACAACAGACATGAATACCCAACATCTTCTCAAAGTTACCCATTTAATACATTATATGCAACTTCTATGGGGAAACAATGCCATTTGTAAAAGAAAAGAAATAAGGAGACGAGAAGATATGGTACCTCTGAGAAGCTGTGTCGGTGGCGCAGTGGTAGTCCTCTGCGGCCCCTGGGACCTGGCCCGCCGCCACTACCACTTGCCCCCTGCCTCTTAGCCAGCACTCCTCCCATCAGGACAGACGCCTCCTCCTTCCTTGGTCACCTTCACCACCTCCTCCACTCACACAAGTCATCCTCATGTCAGTGAAGCGAGTTTTGGCTGAATTTCATAAGCGAAACTGCGACCGAAAATTCTCCATCTTCGATTTGTGTTCGATTTGTTTACATCCTCTGCAGGGATAACAACGCTAAAAGATATGTTATTTAAGCCTGAGATATTGGTGGTGTTTACATTACAAGTTTGTGTGTTAACAAATATGTATTATTTTTATTATTATAGAAACATATATGATAAAAATACATCTACTTGTGGTGTGCTTGGAATTTGTTTTAAGCCATTAGGTCAGTCGGTGAAAGGGGGTTAGGGAGCACGTAAACTATTACTGTACCGTACACACGTCACAAGAGAACGGTGAAAGTCAGGCAGGCTTTACACCAGTGAATAATCTTACTTTTATATTAACCAAAACAATGTGTGTGTGCAATAGATTCTATTGAATAGAACACATATATATATATATATATATATATATATATATATATATATATATATATATATATATATATATATATATCTTGATAAAATCACACGCAACGGAGCACCTTAGCTTTCGTCTTTATTCAAGATTCTTGAATAAAGACGAAAGCTAAGGTGCTCCGTTGTTTCCCCGTGTGATTTTATCAAGATTTATCTTATCCACGTTTTCATTGTGGATCTACATGAAATATATATATATATATATATATATATATATATATATATATATATATATATATATATATATATATATATATATATATATATGTATGTGTGTGTGTGTGTGTGTGTGGGGAGGGGGGGGACTTATTTAATTATTGTATGGTCGGCGTTGGTCGCACAAAGTTATGACTGCTCAGAACATCACGGCATTTACAAGTTGGTAAGAAAGTTGGCAGTGACGTTACTCTTCTACCTTTCTATATGGCAGAGCCGTAGATAGTGTTCGGTCAACTCGGTGACACACGGGCGCCATGTTGTTTCTCAGCTGATGAAGGAGTCTGCGCTTGTAATGCAAAGGATGATGAAAAAAATTTCATATATGTATAAAATTAGATAATCATGTTTATAAACTAGTATGTGTAAGACAGCCCGAGAAGACTTCCCACTCGCCGAGTAACAACATGGCGCCCGGTTGGCCGAACTCTAGCTATCTATGGTTCTGCGAGCCGCCCAAAGTAGCTCCGCTAAACGGTTGGGGGTAAACTAAATAAAGAATACGGGGATGTAGACGAAAAAGTCGGCAAAATCACGATTTGCTTTTGTTTTGTGCATCTCTTTATAGCATCTGCAATGGGGTACAGTATTGTGCAGCTTTTAATTGTTCGTGCAACTCCTTAAGGAACAGATAACTTTCTTTCTTTCTATTTCCGAAAGATATGAGAGGTGAGTAGTACACCAACTTTTGTCAATGAGTGTTGACTGTTCATTAGTTCATATGAGCGCTTGGGTGTGCCTGCCAATCAGATTTAACATGCTGAGCTAGATTAGAAGCACTCCGAGTTATATTAACTTTCTACTGCTCTGTGTATACTTTTTAAATGGAACTCTTAATCACCTATTTCATGAAGCTGTAAAGCCTTTTGGGAACTTGTTAATCATCAATAGTTTCTTTAAATATCCACTATTACTTTTAGCTATTTCCTTTCTCAATATAGCTGATACTTTCAGAAAAATCCTTGAATCTAATTTCATCATCTTTCTTACTAGCAATATCTACGGGTTCTTCCTTTGTTCTGGTTCATTTCTTTTCACAGATTTTATGAATTCTGCATGTGGAATGTTATCAGTTATAAGAGACTTAAGATGCCGCTTGTAGTATAGTCTGATGGATCAGTTTTCACACCACGAAGATTGATATAGGTTTGTTTATGTCTTTCATAGTCACGACCACTCATGCAGAATCATTTAAAGAGGTTTCATGTCAAGCAATAACCATCTCGATACTGGAACGTGTATCTGCTGCTGGTCAAGTCGGTTTCTGTTCTTCTTTGCTGTCTTTGCATTTTTGTCCAGCACGGCAAATGATACAGGTATTTCATTTCAAAAGCAAAAGCATCTCTAGGATCATTTAATTAACAGGCTCCCAAGTCGAACTTTGAGAATACACTACTGTCGCTGGTTTCGTTTATGGCCTCCTTTATCTTTAAACCCTTGTTATACCTCTATGTCCTTACCTCGTGCAAGGCATCACTCATACTATCCTTCTGGTAGAATACACACTTCTCTCTGCCGAGGATGTTGAGGCTCTCTCGGAACTACTTGGTCTGCTTCTCTCTTGAAACTGCCACAGGAGCATATTCCTGGGCAACTGCTTTCTCATATCGAACTTTTGCTCTTTCCAGCGTATTTGGATGAACATGAGTATCGCAACATTTTTTAATGGAGATTGTACCTCCTCAAATGCTACATTTGTTTGTCTATATAAAGAGAATCTTATCATCTGCAGTAGGATTCGAAGTGGCGCATATAAAGTTACCAGAAAAGGTGGACTAGACTCGATAAAAGGGCAATTATTTGGTCTCCATTTACACTTGCTTATTCCTTGTAATGATCAAGTAAAAAAAAGGACCATTTGGCCATGACTCCCCCTTACCTGTATACAGCAAATCACGCCACTGGCACTAGGCTACACATGAATTCATAGTACATTATACTCACTATAATGCCTTTTCTAATCATTCTGGTCATTTATATCTAATAAATTCTACCTCCAAATGTCATCATATACCACCGGCTTGACTGTATGGTTCACATTGAAGCAAACTTTTTTCCTTCAATTATTGTCAGTATCGTCACTGAAGACTGCTAGACATATTCACATATAAAAACTCTTTATCCAGGTGTTTATTTGCAAGAAGTCTAGGACTTTTTATGTGTAGGCTGATAATTTCGATATCATCAACGCTTAGGGCAGCATCGACGAAGGCGCTAGCCGTAAACTCGGAACTTATGCGTCAGTTTTTAAACCAAATTTACGTCCAAAACTGTATCCCTACACAAAAATCCAGTTTCAATTATATTTCACTGTGGACAAGGAAAAAAAATTTAACATAATGTATGCAGTTTGGATCGTTTTTTATTCTATTTCAGCCTGGGCTGGATGTAGAAAATTATGAGAGGGGTTGGGTAGGAAGAGCACTCCAGGCATAGTTTTTCTTAATATTGCAATTTTGTTCATTGTGAAACATTCTCAGGGGCGGATCCTGGGGGCCCGGATCCCCCCTTTTCATCAGAAAATTTCAATACTTTTTCTTTAATGCAGTATTGCACTAATGCGTTTTTGTAAAGAAAAATTATTTACTATTGACCTCGGAATATCTTCTAATACCAAGTGCAAATGGCCTTAAAATGCCTTGGCCTTGGCTTACGGTGCTCCCCATGTTCCCCCAACCACAACTTCTTGGACCCCCCCCCCCCTTTTAATATTCCTGGATCTGCTCCTAATTCTAATGTGTTTATTTTTTAGTTTAAAAAAAATATTATGCCGCCAAAAGGGGAGGTGGGGGGTGGGGGTGGAGCATAAATAGTGTTTATTTCTCAATGGACAAGGCTAAAAAATGACAATAAACACAATATTCAGAATATTATATATGCAGTTTTATGCATTTTTTTCCATAACACAAGGACACAGCCACCTCACAATTCCATTAATCAATAACACTGATATTCAGTTCCCACATTTTTTACATTCCAGCCAATAATATTCAGTTATTTACCTAAGATGACATATATTGTTGAGAATGTTAGATAATCATAGCTCTAGAGCCCTCGGCACCTGATGAGAACTCTTACCACCGAGAGGAAACCAAACCAATGATGTCAAGGGCGTGGAATTTGAACTTCCAGTCGAATCGGCCAATTCAACTTGTTCGTAGCACAGGGTTTAATATAATATTGATATACACTAGTTATGACACACACAGATAATTAATCCTTACATCATGAAGATTGGGGTTAATTTATTTTCAGATTTCAAGACTGTTTTGGTCTGTGTCTGATCCTGTTAGACTTTCCTTGTCCGGACCATAAACACTTACCTTAATACAGACATTTTAATGAAACAGCATGAATATATGTTACTTGAATGAAGTGTTGAATGTTAAATTCAAGTCCCAGTGCCACATGCCTCGGTCATAGCTTATTGATTAACTTAAATCATCGTCAACGATTTACGGCCATTTTTCACACTTGTTTGGGTTAGCCTCGGTTACCCTACAGCCTTTATTAAAATCAGGATATGCGATAATTTATTGATGATCTAGTGTACTGTATTTAAAAAAAAATCATCTACATATTTCACTCCAAAAAAGTTTGCACTCACAGTTTTCTGGATTTATGGCTTCTTCAACTTTGAGCTGTGACCCCTTGTGGGGAGGGTGTAGTGGCTCCTCTCCCCTACAACTTCCAACTGATGACTGAGCTCCCGCAGGCCTACCAGCCAATCAGCGTACAACCAGCGACGCTGGTAGACCTACTCCACAGTGCGGACGCACACGTAGCAACGCCTGGATCAGAGTGCCGGGTACTTCTGGCATTCTCCTCTGTGATTGGCTCTCGCTCTACACGCATCCCTAATCCTGATCCTCGTAAATTGTATAAATACGGCCATGCCCGTCCAGGGAGAGCATACTCGTCTCCGCCAGGTGGACAGACCACCTGCTATCTACCCCTCCCACTTTTCTTCCCGTTTCCATGCTTTACTTCTCTCTCTCTCTCCTCTCCTTTCCCAGGGCAAAGTCATTTGCCACTTTACTTCATTATCATCATCATCATCAGGGAGAGCATTCTACACTCGGCTACTGGACCAGCAACATCTCTCACAGCTCCTCACCACTCGGCTTCCTCAGAAACCTCCTCGCCCTACAGGACCTCTGAGCAAGTTTCTCCTTACCTAGTCACTCCTAAGCACTGCTCTGTACAACAATATATATAGAGAAAGCGCATTGTGAGTTTCTATCCAACCTCATTCCTGAGTGGAGATATCTACATGTACGTACGTTTGTGTGCCCATACATAGAGACTATAGACAACTAAAGAGAATTGACAACTGGCCACATACAGTACGCTACAAGGGCATCCACCAGCTCCAGGTATGGACACTCGACTGAGTAGTGCCCTTTGAGATGTTTATACACCTCAATTAGGTCCCCCCTTGCCCATCTGTAGTATAATCTAGGCAGTTGCAGGTGATCTAATCTCTCTGGATAGCTGAGGTGGCAAAGTGCAGGCAACAGTCTGGTGGCCCTCCTTTGGACATTTTCAAACAACTGACAGTCCCTAGCATATTTCGGGGACCAGGCAGGGTGACAGTACTCCAGGCGGGGAAGCACCTCACTCTTGAAGATTGTTACGAGGGACGGACCATCTAGCTATCTAGACGACCTTCTTATAAGACCTAATAATTTAGTTGCTTGAATCACCCTCTTCTCACAATGGCACTTACAGGTGAAATGAGTCATATCATCTTGGGTTTAAACTTACCAATCATTTTAAGAATACGGAAAAAGAAAATTAATTGAGACAAAGATAATGTTATACTAATTTACTTTTCATGCCCTTAGTACAAGGTGGTAAAATGTTTGAGCAATACAAACTGACAATTATCAATGTACAACACCTCACCCTGCCGGAGGCCAATCTGTGGCAACGCCACAAGTTGATATTTTTATAATCAGAAAAAAGGCCCCTACTGCCACTCCTAAGTAAAACATGTCATTTGGCTATGTATACCAGGAAATTTTACATTATATACTGTAATCTATGAGAAAAATTCTAACTAAAAAATCATAATCTTAGAAAAAATCAGGAAAATGCTTAAGTAATCCAAATAGTTATTGCAAAACATAGTCTACCTTGGCAAATTGTATATATCACATGTAAGTTCTACACTATTGTAAAAATTAATGCAAAATTTAGATACAGTACTACTGTATCTAATTATATATATATGAATGATTTTACTTTACACTCAGTCATACCCACAGCCTTCTTTTTCTTATAATCCTTAAATTACACCACAAAAAATAATTTCACTAGAACTGGCAAGAGCCAATCCTTTAGGAACTGAAATAATATCCATTTTTAATAATAGTTTATAATTTATATGCAAATATTGTTGTAAGTTTTATTTCTTGTAGCAGTTTAACCTAATACAGTCATACATTTCCACATTGTAAATAAAAGGTTTAATTAATTTTAGTCAGGTCCATCTACAAACACCCCAGAAGGACCTGTCCCAAAACACAGTTGCCTGTGACTCACAATGAACAAAACTTCACTACCAGGTGCAGTAAGTGAATACTATTAAAAACTATATCAAATAATATCCAATAACTATACTGTACTGTATAAACAAAAGCCCTTAATTGTAGATTCATATAAAATTTCATATAAAACTTACTCATCAATTACCACTCAAAAAATAAGATGAGACAATTTCATGAAATAAGAAAACAAAATAAAATACTTCTTTCATTTGTCACTCAACATCACCTCCAACACTAACTGATTATTATTCAGTCAAGTTGATTTACAAAACCAGAGTATTTTTCTGCATATTCTTAAATTGATTATATGTACAATCCAGAAAATATGAAAATGTTTGTCTTAAACTGTAGTAAACAGTAACTAACAATACCTCAAGTATTTTGGGCATGGTTAAGCAGGATTTTTGATTTGTCAGAACATTAGACCAATTATATATATATATATATATATATATATATATATATATATATATATATATATATATATATATATATATATATATATATATATGAGAATTTTGCATAAACATTTACACATCGATATAATATAATCTCCACCAGCAGGGCTTGAGGCTGGGGGCCACTAGGCAACACAGTGCTATAGAAGAATTTGCCTCTATACCTGTATACGGTATTGACTAGTGAGCTTGATAAAACGTTGTTTCTAGGTCATTGTTGTTAGGAGGCCAATCTGACACCCCTGATGTTAAACAGGGTGAACTAAAAGTGGTCAGAAGGGCTAGTTCCTTTACAACACTCGGTGGCCTGAGTGTTGCCCTCCTACTTCTCATGTTGAGGATTTAGGTTCAAACCTTGTTGGTAGTGGTTAGGTATTATACTGTATTATTTGCTTATGTTGCTGCCAAAAGTCGAAATTAGTCAAAACCAGTTTTAAAGAGTCAAATTTAATATCTATTAAGGTTGTATGGTACAACTTGTATTACCTTGACAAAACTGAGGAAAAACTGAAATGCAGAAATAATGAGTTATTAAACCTAGTTATAGCTAACAGTTCAACATTGTTTGAAAAAACTAATTTTGATTGAAATTCAGATTCATCTCAGACAAAACTGTGTTATAACAGTTGTGTTGGCAATTAAGTGGTGTGAGGTAGCGTGCTTGCTGATTGGTCAACGCTCTTACCTTGCTAAAAAAAGAAGTAATTTCAGGTCAAGATTAGTGGTTTCAATAATTTAAAGTCTATATTAATTATTTTTACATCACATACTATTGTGGTATTTGGAATTACATACTAATATTTCTTTATTATACTGGCATGTATCTTTTTAAATACTGTACCGTACTGTACGTACAGTATATGAAACATGTAAACAATGCTAACTGATACCTGTAAACATGAATCCATACAATGAGAGATATATTAAGTCTACAAACAGTTTTGGAAATAAGTAAAATATGTCAAATATAAACTGTACAAGTGTTTTTCATGTGGACTAGTACAGTACACACAGTTCTAGAGAGATGAAGCCAACGATGGTCATGAAATATTTACTTTTAAATCATGTAAGCCTAAAAGTACTCTACATTTGGACTGTATACAATTACAACAATTTATAAACTTACTTATTTGTACAAGGTATTCTTTTTCTTTTCCGTTTTCTTGTTTTGATATAATTCAAACATTGACAAAAATAGTACAGGTACCAGTAATCATTTCGGTTGTAACAATTGCAAAATATTTTTTGGCAGTTTCATTGTTCATTTTTGTCACGACCACTGTAGCAAATAGCACGATGGGATGCTTGAATTATTTCGAAAATTTCAGCAGTGATGGATTTCATCTTTTAAAATTTTAGTTAACATCAATTTCAATACCATTAAACAGCTTTAGTCTTCTGTACTGTAGAGTCTTTTCTTTTCATCAACCTCCAGTAGAAGTAAGACGTACTTTTCTTGTTTAATGATATTATATAGTGTGATGATTTGCTTGGGAGAAGCAGAGCTGGGTGGTGTCGTCATTTTGCGGATTACATTATCTTGCTACAAGAAGGGCACACTCTTATTATAACTTAAGCTGTTTGTCCCATATACTGTACTGAGCTACTGGGTTGTGAAGTATTGTGCTGTACTGGATATGTGATCCTGATAACAGCTCAATAGCGCATGGCCTGATAAACTTGACTCCAAGCTACCTCATACCATTAGTTTGCCATTGAGCAATAAGATAGCATGCCATCTCATATCACTGGTTTACATTTGATCAATTAGCGAGCACACCACCTCACAGGACCAGTCTGCCAACATCAATCTGCTATACCACCTAGTTCTTACTGAGTTGACTTGCAAAATTTCAGGCAGGACTATTTTTTTTCAAACAAAGATCACGATGACACTAGTTTTGATTGAAAAGTTTAGCAAAAACTAGGTTTAATAACATACTAGTCTTGTATTTCAGGCTTTCCCATCAGGCTTAGGTGTAACTAGATTTGCCTTGGTAATACTAGTACCATACAGCCTTCCTGGCCTTTAGTTTGGACTAGTTAAAACTGATTTTGATTACAAAACACACACACACACACACACACACAAGATGTACAAATATACTGAAAATGAAATGTACTGGAAAGCAAAATTTTTGGTTAACCAGTCCCTAAATAAGAGCAATTGTTTTAAGTAACAATCAATGCTTTGTGAGGAAGCATCAGATGAACTTCAGCCAGTGAGCTTCAGATGTCACTGAAAATCTTGTTACGACAACAACAGACACCATTATTTGGGAATGAAGGCAAGCAGTCAAGGTTTGTGTATCCCTTGAGTGACCATTATCAGGATCTAAAGCTCGACGAGGTGCTGATAGTGCTCGACGTTCTCCAGCTGTGGGGCGAAGAGCTTGAAGGCGTTGAGGAGGGGAGACCCCAGTTCATGCGGCTCATACTGGAGTCTCCTGATCTGTTTCCTCAATGCGTCCGAGTCTCCACGGAGGAGCGTCATTAACTGTAAGTACAAGGAATGAAGGAGAACATGTACCATAATTTGGCATTATTGAAATGGCATGGAATAGAGTCCTGATAATTGGCATAAACGATACCTCCTCTACAGAACTGTTAAACTAATACTGTTAACTGTTGCAAGATAATTTATCTTATACTGTATTTCCAGACATGAAGCAAGAAGATTATCCTTGTTAAGTGGTCACAAAGATAGCTGGTTACTGTTATGCTGTAAGAGACTGGTGTTCATGTAGCAGCATTATGGACCTGGTGAGAGGGAGGGAATGATTCTTGTATGAGTGAGTAGATGGAACTGTTGAGTAGGAATAGTGTCTGTGTGGGTGATTAGATGGACCTAATGAGTGGGAATAATGTCTGTGTGGATGATTTGTGTGGATGATTAGATGGACCTAGCGAGTGGGAATAATGTCTGTGTGGATGATTTGTGTGGATGATTAGATGGACCTAGCGAGTGGGAATAATGTCTGTATGGATGATTAGATGGACCTAGCGAGTGGGAATAATGTCTGTATGGATGATTAGATGGACCTAGTGAGTGGGAATAGTGTAGAAAATGGCAAATACATAGTAAGGTATACTCACAATACTCTTGGTGATAGTTTTGTGAGTGGGACTGAAGGAGTACTGTACTTTAGATATATAAATTAGATATTATTATTAGGCTCTACCCAAATAACAAATGTTGGGAGGTCTGTTGTAGGTATGGGAACTGCAGCATGTAATGTAGGATAATTCATTTCATATAAAAACAGCCATTGTATTGCTGGATAGAAAAACTAATAAAAGATGAAGAGTTCTCAGTTACAATCCCATGTCCCATAGATATGTACAGTATATTGTACAAGAAACATTTGCAAACTTACAGTTAGACTTACATCTTAAAAGCCAAGGTATTGCAAAACATCCTCCACAACATACAGTATATGGCAGTACAGGTAGAAATAAATATATATGATATTAAACATTTACCGATGGCAGTTGGATATCGAAGAAAAAATGTTGCATTGCTATGTTATGTCACAGCCACTCAGTGAATGACCCATATAGAAGTGGTAATGATGTACAGAGGTGCGATGATGGAAGGGTTTGGGGGCTAAAAATTTTCAATGATAAAAAATAAAGAATAAACTATGTGGTACAGAATACACACATGGATGAATTAAATCATTAGCTGCCTTGTTTAACACCTAAAGAAGCTGTTTCACCTGCAAGAGAATATATATATATATATACAGTATACAGTATATATATATATATATATATATATATATATATATATATATATATATATATATATATATATATATATATATATATATATATTACTGTACATGGTGTTAATAACTGCAGTATATCAGAAAACAGCTATGGCACTTGGGGTATAATTCCATTATGCATTTCAAAGTGCGTACAGGTACTGTCATACAAAGTGGCTTCCAATTCCACCTGATGGTCAGAGATGCTTCTATAAATACAGCAGTCATCAACACGTTAAGAATCATATTACTCAGACTCTTGATCATGGGATGCTGTTGTACTCTGGTGATTAATACAGTACTATGTGGCTATGAAAAGATGTATACACTTTAGGTAATGTGTATGAATTTTTAAATGAAGATGAGTAATGTGTGTCAAATTAATACTGCAATGTTTACCAAAAAAATATGACTAACCCAAAAATATACATAATTAAATAAACTAATAAAAAAAACTGTTCAACATAACACCCAAAAACAACATCAACTACTTGTCTATGTTCTACTCTAACTGAAAAGTAATAATTTACATATCAATACTAAATGCAAAACTTATCCACACTTTGTACTGTATATGTGTGTGATTAAAATATACAAATGTCATACACACGTCTGACAATTACTGTAATGTATAGTATACTGATGAATGTAAAAATGAATACTGACACATATACATACAAAATAATCTTGTTAAAATTTAAAATACTGAGAAAAACTTACCTGTACAACTGAGCCATGTCATTGTTCAGTGTGTAACTGCTGATGAGCCAACTATAAATTTAATATTGAATCACCTCAAGATTAGCTTCCTAACTTTTTTCACTTGATGATTATTAAGCACCCTAATGTTATGTGGAGGGGTTAGGTTAGGGTAGGGTAAGTTATGTTTAGTTAGCATCAGGGTGGTTAATCTTCAGGTGAGGTAAGTGGGGGAGCTAATCTTCCGGTATTTCTTAATAGATTCCTTTTACAGCACCACAGACAAACCCACTTTTCTCTCCACTATTATCATGATACACTTGTGGGTAAAAAATTTCCTTATTACTTCAATACTGTTTCTTATCAAGGCTAAACTATGGTGTCTGAACAATCACTTCACACACACACACACACAAATGACTAACTCACATAATTCTGAAACAATTACACTTTCTGGAACCAATTTAGAAGGATAAGAATATTTGATTGTATTGCTGTTGAAGACAATATTTATATAATGAAAAGTCCTTTCTGTTGTTTTGTTTTGAACTGCAAACCATTTCTTTATTTGAACAGCTCCCTACCTTTGACAGTCAATTATTGTGCATTATTATCAAATACAACTCTAGGAAAAAAGATAATGCAAAATTTAGTTATTTACTCTCAATTCACTTTCTGTCTAACCGAAGCTTGTAGACATTTGTGGTACTGGAGAGAACTTATAGAAGAACTTTCAAGAACTAAGATCTGGTTGATACCGTGAGCTAAGGCAGGCAAACGCTGGTTACAAAGTGAGAGATCCTTCAGCTGAACCTCCAGGTCAGGGGTCCTCCAACTGAACTTCCAGGTCACGGATGGTCCAATTGAACCTCCAGCTGGGAGATCTTCTAAGTTAAGGATCCTCCAAGTCAGAGATCCTCCAGGTAAGCCTCTTAATTAGGGATTTACCAGGTGAGTCTCCTGGTACTAGAAGACTTCAGAGTAAGCTTTCAAACCCAAGAGGTCCTCTAAGTAAGCCTCCAGGTCCTCCAAGAAAAAAATCAGGTCCAAGGGATGCTCTTACACATGCCCCTGGGGTTCCTGAGTAATCCACCTGATAACAGAGTCAATCACCTTCTGCAGAACCTACTCCTGAACATCTACCACTACACATACTTCATTTCAGGTCCAGTACACATCTTTTCAAGCATCAGACTCAACATAATTCTCCTTTATTCTGTTATTTCATCATTAGAAAACTACTCATCCTCACATCCAACACCTCATAATGTACAGTATCTATGTTTGTCTTAGCTACTATCCTCTCAACTACACGTGTTACAATAGTATCCTCATGACTGTGCAGTTCTTGAGATATACTTACAACTATTGCACTATGGAACACCTCTTTTCATTCTAGAGTTCTTATTCTATATTTTTCAAATCCTATTACATATTCACATTTCCAATATTAAATTCTTTTATCGGGTGTTACAGTAATATCATAATATGTGTATGTTTGAATTAATGATACCCAAAAAGGAGATTTAATACCGTACAGTACAGTAGCTAAAACAACCATCTGTGCATACTTTGTGGGAAACAATATGAGACCATGGACGGTAAATTCTGGTATATGAGGGCTGTCACTAGTCACACGTAAAATTTCGGAGCATATCGACCTCCACCTGCACAGATAGTTGTTTTAGCTGCTGTACATACACAAGACCAACAGACTATCTATCATTCATTATCATTCCTCCTGACTGTTCTGAGGTTAAAACGTTTTCCTGTCTAATGTTATCACTCTGCCCAAGCTGTACAGGCATTGACAGCTTCCATCCTCATTGAGTTACACTTCTGCCAGCTTCCATCCTCACTGAGTTACACTTCTGCCAGCTTCCATCCTCATTGAGTTACACTTCTGCCAGCTTCCATCCTCACTGAGTTACACTTCTGCCAGCTTCCATCCTCACTGAGTTACACTTCTGCCAGCTTCCATCCTCACTGAGTTACACTGTACCCCTGAACACACCATTGTATTTGTTGCAGTTAATCTCAATCTCTTCTCTCCATTTAGTGAGTAGTAGAAGATGAGAGATTGGAGGAAGGGGAAGACGAGAAAGATGAGAATCAGTAGAAGTGAGAGAAAGAAGATAAGTAAACAAAAGAATAGAATTAAGAAACAGGCATTGATGATGATGATGATGATGATGATGATGATGATGATGATGATGATGATGATGATGGTGGTGGTGGTGATGATGATGGTGGTGGTGGTGGTGATGATGATGTTAATGATGATTGTGATGATAATGATGATGGTGAAATAAACTAGGGGGCTAATATTCATGTGATCGAATTCTCATGATTTTATCGAGTGTGAAGTATGATTAAAAGAGGAGGTGGAAGAATTGAAGAAGTAGAGAGATAACAAGAGAATAACCAGTTGCAAACAAAAGCTCAAGAAAAACACACCCACACGCACACAAATAAAACTAACGAAAGTCTTTTTTTAACGTCGATGTAAGTGTACTGTGAAGAAAGCACCTAGTAGCATCCCACCACCAGCAGTCGTCTTGTGAGGATCAAACTCCACAGGTGATGGCTGGCTGGTTGGCTCGTCTCCCCAAGTCGCGGGCGAGAGGAAAGAAGATAAAAGTAAGTATGAAGACCCACCTGGAGAGAGGAGCAAGACCCTCAGCGCCCACCACCACGGCAGCTTCCAACTGGTGCTCGAGAAGGCTCTCCTCATCGTCGTCACCACCTACCACAGGTCATCAGAGCGCTCGGTCACCACACTCCCGCCCGCCTCACAACACCTCATGCACTACACTGACACAACCTCACACATGCTAAACCTAACTTGGAGTCCATGTCAGCCCCTTACTACCCCCGTAAATCTCGACGCTCGTGACAGGTGGGGGCTACACAATATTATTTATCTGGATGAAAAGTTTTAAAGTACTGTGGGAGTGGTTGTGATGCTGTAATGAACCAGGAACCTGCCACTTCATGTAGTCAAAGGATGAGTTCATAAACATATTATAGTTTTAAGTTATACAACAACTGTTAATGATGATACATCCTGATCCTGGAGAATGTTACAAGAACTTAAATCAGAACTGTGAAGGATACCTGCCGCAGCACATTACCAGTCCACTACACAACTGACCGTTAACTAGTAAGCAATTTTCAGTGAAGCGAAACAGACGTCATCGAGACAGGATTCTTTACCATAATAGAAGGTGATGATACTGTGACCTTTATTTAGGTGACATCAAAAGGTTGGGATTATTAGATTATGGCCTTTATAGGGTTACTTAAATATGGGTATTATGATATTTATTTAGACGACATATAGTAATGGGGTAGAGTTTCATGGGCACAACGAATTTGGTGTTGTTGAGAGTCCTTCTCATTCTTTCTCCACTTGTTAAACAGAATATAAAGTGCTGGCCAGTAAAAAAATATATATATGATCACTGAAAACTGCCTGTGTGGGGTAACTTAGGATTATATGCCTTTGATATGTTAATAGTACTGTATATATACATCTATGAAACAATTCGAGTGTCAGGAAAGTGAGAAACCGAAGGACGACCATAGGAGTGAGGTATGAGAGTAAGGGGTAAGGGAGAAGAGGGGAGTGAAGTATGAGAGGTGAGCCAGTTGGTGTCTGTATGTGTGTGAAGAAAAGAAAAAAAGAGGTGACATAGTAGGGAGTCGAAGTAAACGAGACACCAAGAGTATCTCACCCGGCCACCGTGCTCCAGACTAGAAGAATAAGACAACATTAATACAGATAGTGAGAAAGAAATACTCAAGGAAATAATCATCATCAGAGAGTTTGTTCCCATAGGATTAAGTATCATTAGATTAAGATCCACCATGAAATAAAAAAAAGTACTAGAGACGAATGTGTGAGGTGATGAAGCAGATTAATAAATTGTGGAGGAAAGAAGAGCAAATTAAAGATGTGCATAAGCTATTGTGAGGGGAAGGGAGGGGGAGTATAGGCTGGCATGGCATGAACTCCAAGATGTGAGGCCAATCTCTAAGTCGTTTGAGCTCAGTGCTGTAAGACTGCTTGCTAACTTAATGGAATTGTTGTATATATATTTATGTAAACCAATCATCATTTATTACACACAAAGAAACATGAAGAAATAAAAGCTCGTAAACCAAGGAACAACACCAATATATATATAAATAAACCCCAAAACCAAAACAAAAAGTAACATTAATGAGCATATATTAAGAATAATGGCGTGTACTGTATATTGTGAGGTGAACAAGAAATGCATGGTAGTTATATTTGGTGAGATGGTGTATGAGGCACAGTGAGGGGTGCTTGGATGGGAGTAATATCAGTCTTATGTGTTTCTGTAGCCGTGTGTAGGGGGTCATGTGAGCACTGTAGGAGGTCATATGAGCACTGTTTAGGGGGTCATATGAGTACTGTTTAGGGGGTCATATGAGCACCGTGTAGGGGGTCATATGAGTACTGTTTAGGGGGTCATATGAGCACTGTTTAGGGGGTCATATGAGCATTGTTTAGGGGGTCATATGAGTACTATATGGGGTCAAAGATGTGTACAAGACGTGTTGACTACATTGAACTAAACACAATGACCAACTTTAAAAAATCTCCGAGTGTTATCATCACCACTACTTTACTTTATCTCTCCTGCCATGATATAAATGATGTATTCTCAGTGTGGTATGAACCTGATCAAACACACCTAAAATAACACACGAGAATGAACACCGGTCAATACCCAGTTCAGTTTGTACCGGTACTCGATGACACACTGGACCACGCATTGGGTAGACTCAGAATCAACTAGGCATCAACTAGACAAGGCTTGACTCTTTCTTAATAGAATAGCGGATAAATAGCTAAATAGCACCGATACAGAGAGGGTGTGGTGAGTAAACATGATTTGGGTGGGGATCTGTTTTCCAGCACAACGCAACTACCTTCTGTGGGATTTATCAATAATATGAACACGTTTCAACTGTCTTAGAATAATAACAGGAGATATCTCAAAGAATGAGATGAACACTAAGACTGGTTAATTATCAGGTGAACATGAGTGTACCGTGGGGGAGATGACTGTACCGTGGGGAGATGACTGTACCGTGGGGAGATGACTGTACCGTGGGGAGATGACTGTACTGTGGGGAGATAACTGTACCGTGGGGAGATGACTGTACCGTGGGGAGATGACTGTACCGTGGGGAGATGGAGAGATGACTGTACTGTGGGAGATGACTGTACTGTGGGAGAAGATGAGGAGGTGACTGTGGGGAGATGACTGTACCAGGGGAGATGACTGCGTGGGAGATGACTGTACCGTGGGGAGATGATGACCGTGGGGGAGAAGATGAGTGTACCGTGGGGAGATGAGTGTACTGAAGGAGAAAATGACTATACCATGGGGAGATGACTATATCGCGGGGAGATGACTGTACCGTGGGGAGATGACTGTGCCTGTGGGGGAGATGACTATATCGCGGGGAGATGACTGTACCGTGAGGGAGATGACTATATCATGGGGAGATGACTGTACCGGGGGAGATGATGTACCGTGGGGAGAAGATAAGTGTACCATGGGGAGATGACTGTACCGAAGGAAATGACTATACCGTGGGGAGATGACTATATCGTGGGGAGATGACTGTACCGTGGGGAGATGACTGTACCGTGGGGAGAAGATAAGTGTACTGTGGGAGAATATGGGTGTACTGAGGGAGATGGGTGTACCGTGGGGAGATGGGGTACCGGGGGAGATGACTGTATCGTAGGGAGAAGATGAGCGTGGGCAGCAAGTCTGGACTTGGCGCACCACATTCAACCACAGTGTACCGCGGGAGAAGATGACTGTTACCGTAGGAGATGAGTGTACTGTGAGAAGGTGAGTGTACCGTGAGATGAGTGTAGTGGAGATGAGTGTACGTGAGATGAGTGTACCTGTACCATTGAGATGAGTGTACCGTGGGGAGAACAGTGTACCGTGGGTGGGAGAACATGTAGTGGGAGGCATGTACCGTGGGGGAGAACATGGTGTACCGTGGGGGAGAACATGAGGTGTGGGGAGAACAAAGTGTACTGTGGGTGGGAGAACATGAGTACGTGGGTGGGAGAACATGTACCGTGGGGGGGAGAACATGAGTGTACCGTACCATGAGTGGTGGGAGAACATGAGTGTACGTGGGTGGGAGAACATGAGTGTACCGTGGGGAGAACATGAGTGTACCGTGGGGGAGAACATGAGGTACTGTGGGGGAGAACATGAGGTACTGTGGGGGAGAACATGAGTGTACCGTGGGGGAGAACATGGAGTGTACCGTGGGGGAGAACATGAGGTACCGTGGGGGGAGAACATGAGTGTACCGTGGGGAGAACATGAGTGTACCGTGGGGAGAACATGAGTGTACGTGGGGGAGAACATGAGTGTACCGTGGGGGAGAACATGAGTGTACCGTGGGGAGAACATGAGTGTACTGGGGGAGAACATGTGGGGGGGAGAACATGAGTGCACTGTGGGGGAGAAACATGAGTGTACCGTGGGGAGAAGTGGGAGAAATATGAGTGTACCGTGTGTGGGGAGAACATGAGTACCGTACCGTGGGGGAGAACATGAGTGTACGTGGGGAGATGAGTGTACTGTACCGTGGGGGAGAACATGAGTGTACCGTGGGGGGAGAACATGAGTGTACCGTGGGGGGAGAACATGAGTGTACCGTGGGGGGAGAACATGAGTGTACCGTGGGGGGAGAACATGAGTGTACCGTGGGGGGAGAACATGAGTGTACCCTACCCTGCAACTGTCGGTTGATTATAGCTGTAATGCTCCCAGACTCCTCCCCTTTCTTCACCACCAGCAGCGGCTTACTCTCGCTGTCATCAGATAGGTTGGCAACGCAGTGGCCATTACCCATCCCAGACAGACTCTCGTTAACCTGAGGACCGACAAGGTAAGGTCAGGTCACGTCTGTTGCCACCTCTTGGATGTTGGGTGGGTGGGGGGAGGGTGATCAAAATACGGTGAACCTTTTTTTTTTTCACTGAGCAAAGTTCAGGGTGAATTAAGATTTAATTAACGTTGGGATAACATTATGTTTTAAATTGACGACTAGACATTATCCCAGGGAGTGTAAAGTCATCATTATTTACAATATAAGTTAATTTGTCTTCATTCAAGACCAATAATTAGATTTAGACTCTACAGAAATATTTAGCTAACTACATTGTGGCTGTGTTGAATGATGAATTACTATGCATGATTCAGTTAATCAAGGGTCACTACACATCCAAAACATAAAACTGCAACAAACTCAACATTCAAGTAACCAAACAGTGTAGGGTGCAGAAACAACGAGGTGGGTAGGTAGGGTGAGAGAATAGGAGTGAAGGTGTACAGGGGAGTGAGGAGTGAGGGGTGGAGGCTGTCGGCTGTCTGGCTGTGTCCCACAACAGGCTCGCTTTACTTCCTCCTTACTAGTCAAGTCCCTGCATAACACAACTAATTAAGGCTCATAATACAACATGTCCAAAAAAGTGTTACAAGACCAACTTACTCGTGAGTCAGAACACAAAGAATGTCAACACTCTCCCAGGTCTATTGTTTACAGATATAGCAACCTTTCTGTTATAAGACCCTAGATAAACAAGAGCTTAATGGTACACTTACAGTACAGGTAGTAAGAGAAATATATAATCAACATGGTTCATTGAGGGTAAACATTCCTTGTGTATTTGCTCATGAGAACATAAGAGGTGCTCGATAGATACATTGTGAACAGGTGGATGACATTACACCTGTGAGTGTTACCCACCGACTGACACAGGTGGTCGTGTATGTCATCCACCTTAAGTTTCAGATTACAAACATACTGTACATAAGCTTGGTCATACCTTATGGAGAATTAAATTTATTATTATTTGAAATACATTTGAATTGGATGGCTGAAATAAGACTTTTTGTTTAATCACCACTTGGAGGTATTGGTTAGTTCTCACCAATTACGGATTTACAGACACCCCCAAAATAACCTTCTTAAGTTTATGTTGAAATTTGGATGTTATCGAGAAGATCACCTCGTGTCTCCACTTGCCACTGTAGTTTCATGCACAAGTCTTGGTTGGCACCACACGGCCACTAGAGGGGGGGGGGAGAGGTCAACCATGAGGGATGAAGACGAATCAAGGCTTAAATATATGCAACTATGAGGCCAGCTAGAGTTGCCAACAGTCATCGTAGCTCAACAGTTCTATAGGCCAGGCGTGTCCCCCAGTGGTAGCAGGTCATCCCCCCCTTCTAAAACAGCCCAGTAGGAAACACACATGAAAAATTTGTATAATATCAATGAGACCAAATTCCAATCAACTAAATCTGTAAATTTGCTAGAATGAAATATATAAATAAGCTGACCAGGAGGGGATGGTGGATGCCCCAGTCACTTCAATGATCGGTGTTGATATCGTCTGCTCTTGTGAAGGGGGGAGGGGCTGAGGTGTTGGAGGTGGCGCTCTGTACCTCACAACCTCTGCCTTATCATTTTGAATCTCAGTCTGTGTCAATCACTCACTTGTAAACATTGTTATACCTTACAGCCTCCCCCAGCAACACCTTCTCTAACACGAGGGAGGGACACCGATTATTACACCCAGATAACAGACTGTTGACAGCCACTACTAACGCCCATATGAAGTGTGATTCGTCTCCATCCTCAATGGTTTACTTTACTACAGGACATAAGTCTTAACTGATCACAACCTGAAGTCAGCGGAGCAACTCTCTTGGTGTTGACATTCTTGAGGATGCTCGTCTTCCTCTCCACACACACACACACACACGGACACTTCTACAGTATTACAAAGCAATGTAATATATCAAAGAGGAGCATGTTGATTGGTGAGGATAAATCAATGGTACAAGACCTGGCTAAGTTTGGTACCGTATAGGGCTGGATAAATTCGTACACACTTCACGATTGACCAAGACACCACGGGGGGGGGGGGGATACTGTACTACCGGGGGACTACTGTACCCAGGGTGAGTGTGACGGTGATGTCAAGTGTACCCTGGGAGAGGTGAGTGTGGCTAGTGTACCCTGGGAGAGGTGAGAGTGGCGTGAGATGTACCCTGGGAGCGTGGTATCATCAACACAGACAGACAAAGTACAGTACTAGGGTGAAGGAAGAGCGAGGTGTACCAGGGAGGGAGGAGAGTCGAGCCGTTGCAGGATCCGGGCAGTGTGTAGGAGGGCCGCCGGCTGCTCTCACCACAACAAAGAAAAACCAACACTAAAATCAGTTAGTACTCAATCGTAAGTCACCAACACTTGAACAAACTCCATCCAGGAAGACAAAGAGAACTCGTAAGATAAAAAAAAATATCAATCAATAAATAAAGTAGTACTGGCTGGCACAGAAGCAGCCATGCAGGAGTGTCCACGGGCGGCACACACCAGGTGGAGGCGATGATGTACGGTCTTCATAAAACACAATAATAGGTTTACTAATTAAATTGTCTCGGATACAACTCGATCCCGTTCAGCTGTCCATTGAAATTAAAGAATTGTAATGAGAATATAACTACATATTATTATTATTATTATTATTATTATTATTATTATTATTATTATTATTATTATTATCCTTAACCACATTCAGCAAGCACAGTTATAAGTTACTCAATATATATATATATATATATATATATATATATATATATATATATATATATATATATATATATATATATATATATATATATATATATATTGAGCAACTTAATTGACCGTGCTCCCATTTGTAGTTTCACACACATGCGTTCTTATTCATTTAGAATCGCCCGAGTTTTGTTCCGGCCCAATATGGCATACAGTCGTTTACACAAGCCTCGTAACATGTTAAGTCCAACCCTTGTGCTAGCAGGGAGAGGGTGTATGTGTGTTGTGTGTGTGTCGTCTGGCTGGAGGGGGTCAGTGTCCCTCGATGTTTTACCGAGTCCCACATTAGTTATATTCATCTGTTTAGTGAAGTGAGAGAGAACGACAAGACACTGCTTTCACAACAATTCTATTTTTGGAAGACAGTAGCAGAAGTAAGTTTAGTGAAGACGAAACGAGTGGAATAATAAAACTAGCGTAAATAAGTTCTCATATCCGGTTGACTAAAAAAGGTAGAAAGAATACATAACATGGCTGCCAGAGGGGCCACTCAGAAAACAGTTCCACTACAACTGTACCAAGAAATGTTCATCCCACTTTACACCAACATTAGTCTTGTGGTTGTGAGTTTGTTCCAACACGTCTGGTGGAGCATCACGTGTCCTTACTGCCGCCTTTCGTCAAATAAATAAACACCTAATAAGTCAGTTTACATCTGCTCCATAAATAAATACAAACAATATACAAATTCAGTCACCAGTAGTCAGTTTGTTCCGCTCTATTAGTGATGATGACGCCGGCCAACGTTTTGTGAAGCCTCGACAAAGTACAGCTTTTAAGATCTAATCAATAATGATGAATATTTGATCATGACGCCGGCACTTGTGTTGCACCTCTGTGAAAAAGCTAATTACATTTCACAAACGCTTTGGCGATATAACTGGCAATGTTATTACAAAACACTCAGGTGACAAATCAATTAAATCCTATCTATAATTTTCTTCACGTCAGTTCAACACAAAGAGACAACTAGAATATTGTACTTAATTTAAAGACCAGTTACACTGACCACTTTAATATACTGTAATTTAGTGTATGTTGTACTGTACCATCATTGGTAAACTACAGTGTTGTGTGAGGGACGGGAGAGCCTCGAGTTACTAAGCTAAGTAGTCGACTAATAATAATACGAAATAATTATATAAGAATAATACACTCATTTGTAAATATAATTATTATTCACTACATGCTCTACTGGCAACCAAAAACTGGGAGCAGAATGAAAAATCTTTCTTGGTAAAAAAATGGAATTTAAATATAAATAAGTAAAATTCTCTTTAACCCAGTAGCACTCTCAACTCTCACCTCTGAAATGAACTCTAAAAATACGACTCCATGGTAACGGTTAACAGCCACCAGACCAGACGTCTGTCGTCTGGTGTATGGCATTTGGCAATATTTATGATGCTACATGTTGTATATTTTGCCAGACCACATGAAACACCACAAGGGAGTAATCCGGCGTTCCTTGCGGCGCAGCGTAGGATAACTGAGCCATCATAGTACTGGCGGTGGCATTCGTCTAATATTTTACAATACATAATTACGTATATTAATTCATTAAGCATAGATCAAGGTCCAGTTGAAGACAGGAGTCATCTTCAAGAGGTATTATGCTGAAAACTATTTGTACATACTTTATCAATATTATATACAGTCAATATAATATTATTTACTATATTTTCAACTGTCTTGGGTCATCAAATACGCTATGGCAGATATAGATTGCCTGATCTGGTGCGCTTCACTGGATGACTTGAGTTTTGCCAGACGCTACAAGGCACATGGTGAGTGCTAGATGTCTGTTGCGCGGTCTGGTGTGTTTTCATCCCGATCCTCAAAAATTTTTCTAGTAAATAAATGAATTAATAAATGTATAAGTAAATCAGAATGTTAAATGTACCAGATATAAATAAAATAAATCGTAAATAGAGCCAAAGTTACTGCCATTACAGCACAATTTGATCCACGGCGACTTTATTTCTGCACTACATACAGTGGTGGCAGTATTACCCACACCTCGCCCCTGAAACCTGTATGCAAGTGTTTAAAACTGTCATTAAAGTGAACCTTACAATAATTCTTTATATTACCTTGTGTTTGTTTGAACGAGGACGGCCTGAACAGTGTGGGAGCTGAGCCGTAAGATTTAGTTGTATTACTTGGTAATTCATAATTATTTTGTATAACGCTACAGTTTACTATACTTGTACATCATTACCTCCAGCCTGGTATGCGAAGCACCGCTGTGGTATGCCTCAGTGGGCCAAGCTGTGGTGATGGGGCACGGCCATGCTAGGCCAGGCTAAGCCAGCAGGCCACGCTCTACCACCACCTGGTGTTCACTCCACTCCGGTAAAGGTTGCATAGAAATCAGAGTTAGAGCAAGACTCAGCCATAGCTTGTGTTAAGTCATATTAGGGCAAGAGCAAGGCTGTGAGCACTAGGCTGGCTGCCTCCATACTCCACACACACTCATGGCTACTCCACCTTAATGGTCGGTCATTACTCAACTTAAGCACCATCACATATATAGGAACATTTTCACATTATGGAAGTGATCTTTGACCAACAAAACTGAAATCTATTGTAAGTAATTAATAATCTATCTTTGTTGATATGAGGTGCCGCAAAAGATCAAGTGAGAGGTGGAGGGTAGTGAGTGGGGAGTGGAAGAGGCAGCCACCTACTGGGAGGGAGGGAGGGGGTGGGGGGGGGCTACATGCCTCCAGGTCCACCTCCACCTCGCTGGGTGTCCGCCCCGCCGCCTCCGGTAACTGTCAAGGAATAATAACAGGAACATTGATAGTGGTGTAGTATGTGAGGCTCCCCAAATGGCCAGAGGCGGGCCAGCTGCCTGCCCGCACTACCCTCGCTAACTACGTCTGCGCTACAATACCTAACGTTTAACAACTGAGGTGTAAGTAAACCCTCGCCATCGTAGTTACATACTCTAGATGTAGCTATCACAAATTTATACACCGCTAATAAGGATACAACAGGTTTATACACCATAATTATATAACAGTGTAACTAAAATGTAATCCATTGTTTGGTCTCTATACACCATTGCTAACACTTCATATCAATTCTCAATTCTTCATTTTTGTTCTAAGCCTTTAAGACAGTTCTATTCATTCGGGTGTTGCCATATATAACCTCATAACCGGATATCTCACCAGTAACGAGATATGTCTGTATATATCTGTAATGTTGGTGTAACAAGGAACGTGCTCCTCTGCTGACTCGATGTGAAATAATAAAAGCAAATATTCAAACAGCAATACATTAAGTCACTTTATCATACACCAACAAAAACCAAAGAAGAGCAAATAATAACAACAAATAATCCAAATAAAGCGAATTTTTGTTTTCAGGACAGTAAAAATAATATTTGATCTAGAATAAAGAACTGTAAATCAGTTTAGTGTTGCTCGTGCACATATGGCAGTGTGTAGTATCCCGTCCATATGATACAGCCTCAGTTAACAAAAGTTTGACAACAATAGCGGATTACTGCAGATTTATTTCATACACATAACTCAACAAAAATGTAACTCTTTAATAACTAATAATCATCTCGACCAAAGGATTATCATGCAGAATTTATTTCATTCGATGTTATAAGGTTTTTTAATACGATCAAAAACCAACGGCTAAATCCATGACGGGGTGAACGTTAACCAATTTATAAACCTTTACTGGAGTTTAAAAATATTGTATCCTGTTTTACCAACTTAAGATTTTGTTGTGTTGGAGATATTTCTGGGTAGAGATATACTAATGAAGTGTAACGAAGTATTTCATGTTTGGATGCTGTCAGGCCTCAGTGAGCGGGAAACATTACTACTGTACCGCTTACCAGCACCTCACCCTAACTACATGTACAAAATATACATATACTAACCCGTTAATGATGAAATGTAAAGTATAATTACTTAAAGGGTAATTTATTAACACCATTTGCTCGATTTTTCTTGAACTTAGATAAGTCATCAGAACAGTACATCTGAAAAACCTGTAATGAAATTTGGAACAAAATTTAATATTTAGAATTTTTGGGGGGTGAAAAACCATGGTATTGACAGGCTTTGTTTTTTCGTTGAAATTAAATATATTTTTTATCATCAAATCGGACAGAAAGAAGTTAAAGTTACTGCATAAAAATGACATCTAAAACAAACAAGAATCGAGTAAGTAGCGAAACCACAATGAGTAAAATTATTTCAGGGTCATTAATTAACACCAGTTACTTGGATCTGCACCAGCTCCTGCTTTACAGTATAATAAATCACCCAATTACATAACCAATAAACACACACCAGAAAGTGGAGTCGTGTACTACTGCCACCTCTCTCAGAGTTACTATGGCGGGAAGTTAACCATATAATGTGGAGATACTGTGCTATATAGAAAAGAAACCAACCAAACTTATCTCTATCATCATAAAGAAATGCTACTTTCTCTTGTAGATCTTATGTTATTACAATGAATACATAATAAAAACATATTTGTGTATATATATCCAAAACAGAACAATAAATAAGATTACGTCTTTGACTCTGTGATGGTCGCTGTGAGTGGTCAACACTGTTAGAGTCGACAACGGGTTACGGTCCAAACTGCAGGAGAGTCAATACTGTGAGTGTGTCGTCATGTATGGGGTCAAAGTAAGCTGATAGTCAACATTGCGTGAGGGTTACAATATGAGGTCATGAGGTGCAACACGGTGTCAGGGTCAATGCATCAAGGTCAACAGTTTGAGCATCAATAATACAATAAGGTCAAGCCTGCGAGGGTCAACGATGTATTTAGGGTCAAAGTTATGGGAGGGTTGATGGGAGTCAAACTACACAGGTGTCAACTCCCTGATACGAGGGTCAAAACTACTCTGAAGTCATCACCGTGAAAGGGTCAACACTACACTGAAGTCAAGACTGGGAGGGTCAAAACTACACTGAAGTCAACACCGTGAAAGGGTCAACACTACACTGAAGTCAACACTGAAGTCATCACCGTGAAAGGGTCAACACTACACTGAAGTCAAGACTGGGAGGGTCAAAACTACACTGAAGTCAACACCGTGAAAGGGTCAACACTACACTGAAGTCAACACTGTGGGAGGGTCAAAACTACAATGAAGTCAACACTGTAAGGGGTTAATACTGAAAGAGGGTTAACACTGTCACAGCGTAAACACTACACAGGAATCAAAACAGTTAAAAGATATGGAAGCTGAAATTGTAGGAGACGAAGAACCTCACAGAATACATATTAATAAAAGATAAACTGAACTCCTCGACACTCCATCTTGAAGGTCTGAAAGAGGAGGAGAAGGAGGAGGAGGAGAAGGAGGAGGGGAGGAGAAGGAGGAGAAGGAGGAGGTAGAAGGATCTATTAACTAGGAGGACTAACTACTGGGAGGTAATAGGAGGGAGGGAAGGATATCTAACATCTGTAAGAGGAGGAAGAGAACAGTTACAGAGTGTGGAATAAGAAACATATACAGTACAGTACAGGGTAGTTCAAGAGTCTAAAGACAGAACGGGAATATGACAAGTCAGAATTGAGAAAATACTGTTATTAGAAGAAATGACTGACAAGAGATCAAGTAGTGTCTTCATTAAGAATAAATATTAGGGTAAGTGAACATAATATGTGAGCAGTATCAGGAAATAATAAAGGGGTTACAGTAATTCACAGGACAGGACGAAACGAGGGAAAATAGAATTGTATATATAGAAGATACAAAGTTCTGTTGGGGTTAAGAAAAAAAAAACATTGCACATACAGGGAAGAAAACTGTAGAGTCATACACACAAGGGATCTCTATTCAAAAACTCTATGACTTGCAAGCCCTAGCGTTCGCGCCCTTCTCCTGCTAGGAAAATGAGGCCTGATGACAAATCATTCCATGTTCAGCAGCCACAAAATTATATGCAAAATGTATATCATGGCTACAACGGGTCTGTCTGCATCTATAATCTATGAACTATTATTGTCTAGGTCAAATCAGAACAAGACAGGCGATATTTTGCTTTTCAAGAGGTTGCTTTAAAGTAAGTTTAAGCGATTTAATCATGGTAGCATCTCTACATGCGGCAGATATTTGCCTCCTAAACATCCACCCGACTTTTGGTGGTTCATCCTTTATGTATAAACATTTCAGCATCCAACTCAATCACGAGCTAGCTAAAAATAGCTCACCTTAGTCTAAACAAACAGACTAAGAGCATCCCATTCACAGTCACATATGGCATACAACTGAACAGTCGACGGCAATCCGGGGATAGAAACAACAGGCAAATCCGCGACCACGACTTTCGACGGTGTTCACATGCACCAATTTGGGATGAATTCTTTTGGGACCACAGGCCGAGTAATTTACTTTACTAACTATCAAACTTTAAAATAGAATAATTAATAATGTCATGTAGATATTAAACAAGGTGTCAATCACTGGTCGTGGCTAGTGGTTCCTTATTATATAAAGGGACTCAGGACCAGACAGTTGTCCACACGAGCATCAATATGAAGGCAGATATACTAACACCGGCTACCTACCACAGCCACACACGAGTAACCTACCACAGCCACACACGAGTAACCTACCACAGCCACACACGAGTAACCTACCACAACCACACACGAGTAACCTACCACACCATCGTGATGAAACTGTGAACTCTTGGCCACGATACATCCTCTCAACTTCTTTACTCACTTTCCTTAACATAATCTTTAAACTTAATCGCTCTGTACTCTCACTGTAATTCAGCATTAATTTCATATACAAATTGCGAATGAAGAATTTATTAACTATCCAACAGATCCAAATATAATCAGAAAACTTTTTTAATTATAGGTGTAGCAAGCAGGAGGGAAATGTTCACCTGACCCCTCTTGGTGTGGTCATACTGCAGGTGATCAGTACTGTAACTGCCTCACTAGTTTACAGGGGCAGCGGGTGTGCGTACAGTGACCCCGGGTACTAGTATGAGTTCACCTGAATTTTAAAACTGGGGTATAAAGGAGTACTGGGGGGGGGGGAAGTTATAATTTAGGAACGAACCAATAGAAAACAGCATACGAACCAATTAATAGAGATAACTACATTGCTAGAACTCATCAAATACGTTGAAATGCTGTACCTCTAATTTTAGTCAAGATTACCATATGAATATGCAATATCATAATATTTACTACTTTTGTGGGACTTTTTTTTTTAAGAAGTGTCACAAGAACTAAGCTGAGGACATATTGAACCATACCACTTATGTGTTGTCACTTCCTCAAAAATGTAAATATTTAAACAGCCTTAATTAATAATTTACTCATCAGATGGTCGTCTTGACCTCTGAGCAGCAGCAGCTAATGACTTAAGAAGGAATATGGGATGTAGATGTGAAAACTTTATTGTTCTTCAAGCAAAAAGCTTATAAAGATGTGCTTGAATTTCTTTACATCCAAATCATAAATATGGTTGGGGGTGGGGATTGGGGGGAACTGGTAGAAAAAGGAATTGGGAGGCTGGATCAAAAATTGAGGATTTACGGAAGGACTACCTAAACTGGAGTGATCCCCCGTCCTCCCCCTTAGGTGAACCCATGAAAAGTGTGTACTAAGTGTCATGAACAACGCTCATTCAGCTCTTCATGTCAAGTTACCATGAAACATTGAATATAAATAATACCTTCTCATTCTCGTTGTGTCAGTGAACCTGTTCCATCCTTATGAACTTATCTTAAAACCATATCAATCCAAAGGAAGTTTTATTTGGGGACGCATTCAGTTTTTAACTAAAGTTGCTCTAACATCCAACTAATTTCATATTTTCTCAACAAGGCACTTTTGAATGCCTCATATCTAAAGTCTTAATACAATTATACTGTTCATCAGATCCTTCTAACGGTTGCTAAATTTCTAGATACTCTATTTGTTAAGATTCTGAAAAAGTGTCAGTTCTGCCTTATATTTGATGCTCTTCATACGCCGTCCTTCGTCCAGGAGATGTACCAAATTACCCTGATAATCAGTTTTCCTATGACACCGTCGTCTATAGCAAACGGTCAAGGGAAAATATTAACAAGAGTAGCCAAGAGATACACTGAGCCACCGAGAGACTGATGAAGGTACCATCAGTGTGTTAACAATATTATGACAACCTTAATGACTATACTTGTCGAACGTCATTAAATTATAAGCACAGTGATATCTGTATACCGTTACACATTGTCTGTTTAGTGTAGCACTCGGTGGGAATGTATGTCCTGACCACGTGGGCGTAACATTACCAAAACTTGATTTACCATGGCCAGGTGTAGCGCCACCAGCCGAGCAGGAGGTCAGGCGAGACGAGCACAAGACAACATCAACAGAAGGCGGCATAGCCCACCACGAGCACAGCAAACTCCCCCTTACCTCACCACACACAGCAACATGCATTCTCCACAAGTATGTTATCGAATAAACTTTAACCAATTCAACAAATACTGAAAAAAATAAACTTTTACTTCTATAATTATTGTATTTTTTAGAGTTGTGCAGAATTTTACTCTAAATCAGTTGCTATGAGGTTAGGAGCATCTGAAAATTGCATCTTGCATGGTGGTGTGGCTACATTTATTAACAGTAAGGACACAGCGAGAGAGTAATCTAAGATCTCTAAGATAAAGTACATCAGGTATCATGAGTTTGACTTCTATAATTTATTTTAAATGTGCCTCATTCATGATGACATAAGATCACCTGTTGAGTTGTGTTATCAGGTAGAGATAACTAGACTACCCTCATTGCTGAACATTCCCCTGTGACTTCTCACGGATTTGCTACACATGGGATCAAAGAAAACAATTGGAAGACAGAGGAAAAGAGGAACAGAGAAAGGCAAAGACGGGCACCAGTGTAACAAGATGCTGACTTACTCTTCTAAACTCTGCAATCTGCGGGTATTGGTAAAGAACTGTGGTCAGTCCACCCATCGTCGAAGGCTCACATGACAGCTTATTGGTCTCCTCTATACTATGCTTCATTATACTCAGCCTTTATGTCTCAGTGATGCCATTAGCTTTATCATCATCAATTTTATTTCTACTTTTAAAAACGATAGTTATTATTAAACAAAAGTTGCTTATATCGATACGTTTACAGCATAGTATAGAAGAGACCTGTTTGAACAAAGAAATAACTCATAAAATGAAAAAAATTGTCATGGCACTAGAATAAAAGCATATGATTTAATTTATTAGTGAGGATAAATAAGTGAAGTAAAACCTGATGTTTAGTAAATAATACAGTAAAGCAAATGTTCTCCACAGTAAAACATGAAATTTTTTGTCCAGAACAAGTAGTTGATGTTAAGAAACACATCAAATATAAGAGATTAAAAAAACTCATCTTGAAAACTATTTTGTCTGTTAGTGGATAAATAAAATACTTAAAAGGTGTTGGGCAGAGGATGTAGACGTTAGTAGGAGGGCCGGCAAGGAGGTGAGGGTGGAGGAGGAGGAGGGGGAGGTGTGAGGGTCCTTCTCACCCCTCCCCACCCACCCTCATCACCCCACAAGCATGTAAACTGAGGGGTGTCTTCCCTACACCACCCTACCACCGCCTGTCCACATCAGCCTCACCTACACAAGTACACCCACTCAGTTAACCAGAAATATATCCAAAGATCATTTTCATCTTGAAGACTTACATGCTGAAAAACTGGCAGAAAGAACCAAAGAAAATCTGCCTCAGACACAACTAACAAAGTGAAGAGATATGAGTGTGCATACTTGGCTGTGATGTTATTCCCCATAGTAAAAAAAATTCAAAGTAAAATTAGTGAGATGATGAAGAAATTTCTATAACTTATGAGGGCGAGGTTAACAGCCTAAAGAAAATGACTGATTTAGACAAAATGAAGTCAAAATAGAATATGAAACCTTAAAATGGTTCAGCTCATCATAAAAATTAATGAACGGGAAAATAAAATATTCCTTGAAGATCAAAAACAAAATGGTTATGGTATTAAAATCAAAGAGCCTTTGATAAAACACTGAGGGGACAAAAAAACACTCAAGTTACCTCCTAGCTACTGACGGCAACTCTCGCTCCAGCTCCCACCACCGCTCACTACACCATAAACCTGGTGGACTTGGTACAAATTCCACCTGGTGTTGACGAGGCCAACACCAGGCTCTGTCGAGAACTAAAATGGCTAACTGGCGGATTAGAGGCTTAAAATTTATCTATAGAATTAATTGACAAAATGCACTAAAAATTTGTTTTAATTAATATCATTACTACAACTCACGGTAAGCTATGGAAATATAATTGACTGTAGTTTCTCAAATTTTAACTGAGAACATACTGTGCCAGAGGGCATCCAATAAGAGTGAACCACGAATTTTAACAAGAAAAAAGAGCTCTATAATGTTAGAAGAAAAAGTCCCTTAATAAGTAAAGTTTTAAGCAGTATATTGTTCACAAAAACATCTTTTGCATTAGATTCCGATTGATTCTGTAAAATTAAATATGATCCATCCATAACAAGTGAGGTTTGAGATGAATCATTTGACTAGAGTTTACACGAACACACAGTAGCTCTTCTGTTCCAGTGAAGTTTATCAATGATGTATTAAGTTTTATATGTTATCTTGGACCAGGTTGTGACCACAATGTTCACTAAGGAATTGTGACACTCAGTAGTTAACTCACGTCTATAGAGGCACAACATGTGGGCCAGTACCAGAGGTGATGAGGTCTTGCGGTACACCTCCCTCATGCCTTTTGAAGACTTGAGTTTGGACCGGAGTGTTCAGATGCACTTTGAGAGGATGCAACGGGAAAATATCAACACTTAATAGGAATCTGTCTAACGGAAGTCGGTCAATTCTTGTGCAACGGGTCTGAAGATTAGTGCTCCTTGGGCTCTGTGCTTGATCTGTCCACTTTAGTAAGATTTAAAAATATCTTTTGACTTAAAGTGAGCTCTATGATTGGCCTTTAAGGTAAATGGAGGCACGTAATGAGTATAACCTGACTGGACAGATGTTTGGTGCGTGAGTGTAGACCAGGTAAGGGGAGGGGAGGGAGAGCTGCCGTCCAGCTCCAGCTCTGCTACTTACTCGTCCGTGTGTCTCCTTACGCTTCTTGGATCTATCCAAATGTTTAAAACACTTTGAAACTAACGGTCAGCATATATATGTATACACATATACATACTGTACACTGTATATATATATATATATATATATATATATATATATATATATATATATATATATATATATATATATATATATATATATATATATATATATATATATATATATATATAAACATATATACGTATAGACAAAACACACATACATAACCAAAGCTCCTTAAAAAAATCACAGAGAGCAAATATGAAAGAAACTGAGATAAAATATTAAATAAATTACAAGTTGTATCTTTAGTATTGAGCTGTACTCTAAGATGGTTGTCTCACAAACTTGTTCCATAAAAATGAACATTCTGTTGAGAGTAAGATTCTCTGTATAGTTTGGTACACCAGGGAAGCCTTTTATAACTTTAACTGATAAATGTGCTGTCTTTACTCAGAGATGCCACAAGAGATTGAACATCGTCGTTTTTGATAAAGATTAAATAAATATTCCTCATGAAGCAGTGTTACCAATTGAAAAGAAATATAAACTAGTGTTATATATTGGAGAGGGACCTAGTGAAACAATACCCCCGCCAGGCTGAGAGTGTTACCTGCATCAGCTTCTTGACCACGTCGCGCCCCAGGATATGGTCGAACACCGCCTGCAGGAACTGGTCCCCCATGATAGTGAGCTTGAGCTTGTCCCTGTGCCAGATGAGTACCCGCGAGTCCTCGATGGCCGTCGCGGACACCTGTAACAGTATAGACTCTTAGTGTCTCTCTAACAAACCACACACTGCCTCCGACACATTCTACATTCAAATTTCCCAATGGACTAAATACCCACCAAGGCACACACACACACACACACACACACACACACACACACACACACACACACACACACACACACACACACACACACACACACACACACAGTTCATGGTTGGGTTTGTGTTGCTAGTAATAGTAAGATTAATAGTGCTCGTAAATGGAGATGAAAGAATGAATTTGATTGGCTAACTTAAACTGAAACACATAAAAGAAGAGACCTGATTGGCTGACTTAAACTAAAACACATGAAACAAAAGACCTGATTGGCTGACTTAAAGTAAAACACATGAAACAAAAGACCTGATTGGCTGACTTAAAGTAAAACACATGAAACAATAGACCTGATTGGCTGACTTAAACAAAAACACATAAATAAGGACAAAAATAATACAAACAACGAAAACAAGTATAGCAAGGTTCCTGTCACACATGATACGTCAAAGGTGCGAGAGAGACGTACTGTTATTACGTCAGCTGTGAACCGTACGTCAGCCACCACTCTCCCATACGTCACTCCTGACACTGGCTGATACCTAACATCATAACCCATCGCTCTGGGGTCCTGACAGCTGACAGTCAGTCCTCACGTGAACATGTTCTCTCCCTTGACATCTTTCTGACACAATGTTGATGGATATTATAGGAACCTAACCTAACCTAACCTAACCTAACCTAACCTAACCTAACCTAACCTAACCTAACATGATAAATGATTACACTGGAAGGTGAGATAGATGATAGAAGTGTGGTAGAATGATGAGAAAATCTACTGTAACACACACACACACACACACACACACACACACACACACACACACACACACACACACACACACACACACACACACACATACACACACACTTTACGTCTATTGCCGCTTCTTACAAGCATTTTATTAATTACAGTAAGAGACACAGTATAATGAATAAAGGAGGTGGGTTAGGTTAGGTTAGGGCTAGGTTAGGTTAGGTTAGAAGTAGGGTTAGGTTAGGTTAGGCTAGGTTGTGTTGTTAGGTTAGGTTAGGTTAGGTTAGGTTAAGTTAGGATAAGTGAGGTAAGAGCAGAGTTAATGAGGTGTCGTCAGCTTTAATTAAACGAAATTTATGGTTCCTTTCCCCGCGGGAGAAAAGTTAATATCTAGGACTGAAGGGGAAAAAAGAGGGAGGGGAAAAAACAGGGAGGCGAAAAAGGGAAAAATAAGGTAGAGGAAAAAGAGGGTAGGGCAAAGATGGGAAGGAAAGAGGGAGGAAAAATGAGGGGAGGGGAAAAAGGGGAAGAGGAAATGAGGAGGGAAAAATAGAGAGAGTAAAAAAAAAGGGAGTGAGGAGGCTGGCTAATAAGAGGCCAAAAAAGTAGTAGTAGTAGGGAAGAGGAGGAGGAGGAGGGAGAGGAGGAGGAGGAGGAGGAGGAGGAGGAGGAGGAGAGGAGGAGGATGAGGAGGGAGAGGAGGGGCCAGGAGGGAGGAGGAGGAGGAGGAGAGGAGGGGCTAGGGAGGAGAGGAGGAGGCTAGGGAGGAGGAGGAGGAGGAGGAGGAGGAGGAGAGGAGGAGGAGGAGGAGGAGGAGGAGGAGGAGGAGGAGGAGGAGGAGGAGGAGGAGGAGGGAGGAGGCCAGGAGAGGAGGAGGGAGGAGGGGAGGGAGGCCAGAGGAGGGGAGGAGGAGGAGGAGGAGGCCAGGAGGAGAGGAGGCTAGGGGAGGAGGAGGAGAGGGTACAGAGGAGGGGAGGGGAGGAGGCCAGGAGGAGGAGGGAGGAGGAGGAGGAGGAGGAGGCCAGAGAGGAGGGAGGCTAGGGAGGAGGAGGAGGCCAGGAGGAGGAGGAGGCCAGGAGAATAACAGGAGGCCACGAGAGCACAGGGAGAAGGCTAGGTAGGAGAAATGGTGGACACACACACACACACACACACACACACACACACACACACACACACACACACACACACACACACACACACACGGTACCTGAAAGAACTCGTCGGTGGAGACCCCGAACCACTCAGGGGAGTCGAGGAACTGGTGTTGGGAGACGATGTGCAGCGCTCGTCCGTTCTGGCTGATGACCAGTCTGTGGGAACACCTCGCCTTAGTTAACGATTACTCTACTCTGGCTCTATTCTGCTCTACTGTGGCTATACTCTACTCTACTCTGGCTCTATTTAGCTCTACTCTACTCTATTCTACTCTAGCTCTACTCTACTTTGGCTTTGCTCAACTCTACTCTACTCTATTCTACTGTACTCTAATTTGGCTCTGCTCTAACTATGCTCTACTTTACTCTATTTTACTCTACTCTGCTCTATTCTACTCTACTCTACTTCTATGAAAAGACATCACAAGCGATAGAATATAAACAGAAGACATTCAAATAATTCACCTTGTCTATATTGGTATTAGAAACTGGAGAATATTTTTATAAACTTTCTACAAAATAAGATTCAGTTTATTATTATTATTATTATTATTATTATTATTATTATTATTATTATTATTCTATTAATTAATGCAAGTATATTTATTATTATTTTCATTATTTGTCTGATCTCTTATCATCATTTTCGTCACTACAATCACAACAAGGGCTGGACTCTTCCCACACAACTCTGGTAAACCTACTTGGCCGGGACCGTGTTGACCCAGGGCCGCCCCCTTCAAGGAGTTAGTCACTACTGAAGGAGATTTACAAAGGTACAAGTGTGCCTTATTGGCCCGGAGGTGGGGGAGGAGGGAGGAGGAGGAGGAGGAGGAGGAGGAGGAGGAGGAGGAGGAGGAGGAGGCGACTGACAATAAGGGAAATTGATCCATTTCGGGTGTTACCTGTTGTTGGGACTCCTGCTCCACTTGTTTTCCTCCCCGCCCAAATCTCATCTCCATCTCTCCGCCCACTTCACCTTCCTCCTCCTCCCTTTCATGCGACTCCCTGCCCATCCTTCCTTAAACTTTCTTCTGTTTGCCCTCCTCCTCCTCACCTGCATATGGCGCACCTGGTTTACGACCGTGGCAGGTAAGAGGACTGGCGAAAGGCAGAGATTATAGAAATGAGAGAGCGATAAGAGGCGGAAGTGAAAGGAAGAGAGGGAAGAGAGAATGAGTACATAAAGAGTGGATAAAAATCAGAGAGAGTGAGAGAGTGGCAGGGAGAGTAAGAGGGTGTAGCAGACAGGTGGAGTGGCAGCTAGGTGTTGTGAGTGCCAGACAGGTGAGGAATGGCAGACAGACAGGTGAAGGAATGGCAGGCATATAAAATTCTGATTACAAATAAAACTCAGAACAGTATACAAACAAACAACCCTCCCTCCAAGCGACCTCCAAGGACTCTCCAAGGACCCCCTCCAAGGACCTCCAAGGACCTCCAAGGACCTCCAAGGACCCCCCATTAATCAGCTGGGAATAACGAGAAGAAAAAGGTGAAATAAACAACATTTTCTGCACGGGCAAAATTATGGCATCTTTGCCTCACGGGCCAGCCATTAATATCCGGGGCACTGCAGGTAATTTCCAGGCAGGTGTGTGGGGCGGCTCCCTCAGTGTTACAGGTGACTCAACCTTCATCAGTGTCCACCTTACCTGATGTTTGTACTGTATACTGTTCAAGTCCCTCTTAACGTGATGCACTTAACTTTAACTGTACATTAATTATTATTATTATTATTATTATTATTATTATTATTATTATTATTATTATTATTATTATTATTACAAGAGCCGCTGCTTCAATGATACTTCTCACATAAAGATTATTTCCTTCAATGTTACTAAAAATAAATAAAAATAAATCATAAACCTGGACTTGTACATAGTCTCATGACAACATCTCATCACCAGGTTCAGGTTTAATGACCAAGTGGCACAGTGCCGGAGAGTGCCAGCATAAACGACGGATTTTAAAGTATATATATATATCGTACCTGTCAACATTATATGCTATGTATACAAACGACCTGATCAGTTGTTACTAAAATACAGGGATTTATTAAGTAGCAGTTAAGGTGAATAGTAAATGGGGAAGACAGAGGCAGGTAAGGGGACGCACTCACCTGGGGGATAACAGCCTGTACACTAAGGCCACTCAGATTAACTTACCTTGCAAATGGTGATGAGCTTTGGCGAGGTTACGTGCTCTAAGCCCACACTACCTGGGTACACCTGTTCTAAACCACACTACCTGGGTACACCTGTTCTAAACCACACTACCTGGGTACACCTGTTCTAAACCACACTACCTGGGTACACCTGTTCTAAACCACACTAACTGGCTACACCTGTTCTAAACCACACTACCTGGGTGCACCTGTTCTAAACCACACTACCTGGGTACACCTGTTCTAAACCACACTACCTGGGTACACCTGTTCTAAACCACACTACCTGGGTACACCTGCCCTACACCTTACACGTGTTACTAATCCTCTCTTATACACTCTAAGGTGACTGAAGCCTTCGACCTTTTCGAAACCTACATCAACACACACACACGGACACATACATACATACATACACACAAAGAAATATATACACACACATATAGAAGCAGGCACACACACACACACACACATACACACACACACACTCACACACACACAGTAACTTTGTCCCAGCCTCCACGAGTCAACCACAATAAACCTTTAAAAAATGGCCACAGCTAAACTTTCCAGACAACAAAGTGGCCACAGCTAAACTTTCCAGACAACAAAGTGGCCACAGCTAAACTTTTCAGACAACAAAGTGGCCACAGCTAAACTTTCCAGACAACAAAGTGGCCACAGCTAAACTTTCCAGACAACAAAGTGGCCACAGCTAAACTTTTCAGACAACAAAGTGGCCACAGCTAAACTTTCCAGACAACAAAGTGGCCACAGTTAAACTTTCCAGACAGCAAAGTGGCCACAGCTAAACTTTCCAGACAACAAAGTGGCCACAGCTAAACTTTCCCGGCATCCCAGGAATTGGCCACGTTTCCGCATTCCACACACCTCAAAGAGTATAGCTGTATATAATTTAACCTTCCACACTACCACTTACTGGCCACACCTTTCTCCAGGTACTAATGAGGTTAGGTTAGGTTAGGTTAGGTTAGGTTAGGT